TGCAAATATAAGTATATTAAACTACCATATTACTCTAATGAATACCGTACTGTACGTAAACGCAGCGCGCCGAGGAAGCGCTACGGCACATACGATTTTTGCGCAGTCTCTGTCAACAAACTTCCATGATGGAACATACAACATTGATATCCATGCCTACACACGGTGAAAAAACATGTGTTAACAAGAACCCTAATAGTATAATGGTTTCAAGTTTAAAAGACCAATACAGTAATACCATTCGTGGTACATGTAACATGACTGTGGTGTATCGCCCTTTTTAATATTATTTTAATGAATAAACATAATAATTTACCCTATACATTTATGTAATATTTAGGGATTCACTGTTTATTTTTCTTTAAACAATAACAAACAAACAAAATAACCATTTTTTATGTCAGCGTGTCTAAAAATTTTTTTCATGGACAGGGAGTTCAATATTTTTCAAAAGTACCCAGACGTTAGTTTACAGTTATCGCTATAAGTATAAAACTAAATTATTAAATAAATAATCATTTCAAATGTAGGCAGTAACGTAGCTATTAAGGTTGCCGCACACTAGATCGGAACGGAAAAAATTAATAAAAATAATTTTAAATGAGGTCCCGCACACTGGATCGGATCGGATCGGAAACGTCCCGTAGGATCGAATCGGAACACGACCGAATTATTTGTCGACAATATTTTGACGGATTCCGAAGCATTCCGATCGCAAACGCTTGTGCACTAAGACTGCGTTAGCGCTAAATATACGTGCTAACTTTTGGTCATCATCGTTTTGTATTTAGAATTTATATGTTCTAACAATTGGCAAATTTTTTCGTAACTCATCCGGAAATATTGAAAAAAAATGTATTTTTCTGTTTTAAATGCGGGAATAGTGCATGGAACTCTTTTTCTTTTTCCTTGCCACATGACATATATTCATTGTATATTATGAACCCACTGTCTTTTTGTCGTATATATTTTCTTTTTCTTCAGCTTCTAACAAAAGAGGTAATGTGAACATCATTTCTTCTTCGTCACTACTTGTATCATTCATTATATTATATTTTACAAACACTCAAAAATATTAAAAATAAATAATGTAACAATAAACTTTAGTTCGACCGTCGAGCTTGAGCGATGAGATCAAAATGGCCAAGTATATATGCCCACGGAATTCCGATTGGTTCCGATATAGTGTACGGATAAAATTCGTTTCCGTTCCGTTCCGATCCAGTGTGCGGCAACCTTTAAAGGGGTAATAGAAGCAATTGCATTAATATTACGTCCATGGACGTCCCAAGAAATTTTTTTTGGGGGAGGAGGGGCAAAATTAAATTAAAAAATAAAAATAGATTTTTTTATCCATTTTATACTTACATTATTTTTTTTCCTTAAATATAAGATTTATGATAAGATAAAATAATCAAATTATTATTAAAGATAGTTTTCTTCTATATATAATATATATATTATATTAAAGCAATTTATGTTTACTAAATTGGCACGTTACAGATAATGCTTTGGGAAACATTTTTAAAATTCTAGGGGTGGCAAGTGCCTCGTCTTGCCCCTCCTGAGGATATCCATGATCATGCCACTAAATATTCATTATCATACATCATTATCTTTGGTTATTTAAAGTTTAAAAATTAAATTTTGTTACCAAGGTGCATCGAGACAATGTGATCTAACAATCGCTCAACAAATTTATAATTAAATTGTGATAATTATTATATCGATATAGAGTGACTATGGAAAAGCAAAGGCATTTAGTTTATAATGTAATAATTACCCTTAAATAATCAATGATAGGTAAAGACAAGAATTATTCTTGTCTTTACCTATTATTGATCTAAAAGCTGTTATTAATGTATTTATTTTATATTAAGTTACATAAGTAAATATAAAGTTGTAGTGACATAATCTGATATTTTTAAATAAAATGAAGAATTTCACTGAGGTCAAACGTTTTTACAGTTATGTAGACTTCAAATTCAGTGAGCTCTTGAGAATGTCAATGTAAACTTTGATTACGCCTAATTAAAATACGTATATTATACCGGGGGTGAACGTAAAGTTTTTTCAAGCCTTTACTACTTATATCTTCAGGAATATCATTTAAATTTCCGGATATTTCTTCACGAGATAGAACTGTTGATATCTTTATTAAGGCTGAGAAACCACGATTTTTTTCCAATACCAAACTACATTTATTTCGAACAACTTTTTTATTTGGATCAAATAATGTTTCAAATTATTTTTAATATTTTCAATTACTTATTTATTTTAATTGAATTCAACAATGGTATATGTTTCTGTTGTAATTTTTCATTAGCCAAAGTTAGTTTACCAAAGTTTAACTTAATAAACGTTATTTTATAATCTGGATTTTATGATCTAAACTTGAGCATCTTTAAAAAAACTGCATTGTATCTATCCAACATAAAAATGATAGAGTGTATTATTCCGAAATTATCACTATAATTAACTGCCGCTTTAATCTAAATTTTCTAACTAGTGGAAATCGGCATTGGAAGTAAGGTTAGGTTTGACACTTCCGTTTTAAATATTAGTAAACGAATTGCGATTTTTACTAAAATTTTTTTTACGAACAAAGTTTTATCTACTGCGTGAAATTGACTTCTTCTGCAACCCTATGCACTCTATATACAACATATTATGTTACGTGAATAATTTTAAATAACTTTTTTCAGTTTTTCAATAACTGTCATTATTGTGCACGTGGGTTTGGAGCTCGGGAACCAATTCGGTACCAGCCTTTAAGTATTAGTTAAATTAAATTGTAGAAAAATAGAGAAGCAAATTTTATTTTACTATGTAATCTACCCGTTAGCCTTCACTCGTAGATTAGTTTCTTATAACAAGTTTAAGGATTTTTTTTATATAGTACCTAATGCGAAAAACTTGAACGAATGGATTTGACCGAAGTTTCGCGGACAATATTCTATTAATATAATACAAAATACAATACAAATTCTAAAAAAAATAATTTAATAATTTAGGTAATACAAAATGACATTATATTATAACATAAGTTACTGGATTATTAAGGAAAGACAATTATACATAAATTTCCTCATTTAGAAATATTTCCAAAAATATTATTCTGTTCGTCATCTCTTATTATCGCCGACTTTATTATTATTAATAAACTTTTTTAAGTAAAAATATCTTATTATTGTTAATTGTCTTCTATCATTCTAAAAATGATAGATTAAATATGAAATCATTCTAGAGGTATTTAATTTCTGTATGAAATAATGTAGTATGTAGCATCCATTGACGTGTGCAGACTTGTAGTGTCGACAATACTTTTAGTTACTATCTTAACAAAACGTGTAGACATATTTAATAAATTATAATATATAAATAATTAAACAAACATAACTTTAATTTTTTATTTAATATTGTGGTGTATTGGTCCAAATGAATATGTTTTATTTGAATATCGTATATTTTTCTCAGATAACTTAAATTGTTAAGATTTGTACTTTTGTAGTAAATTATAGCTGTTATATTATCATAAGAATTTTTTGCATGAAAATTATTCTACATTATGTTTCATTTTTCTATTACGAAACATAATTTATTTTTTACCAAATATTTTAGAATAAATTAAATTTGAATAACATCAGTCAAAATACGAACCTCTTACTCTTAGACTTAAATTGTAGAGCCCCATTTACTACATTTCAGGGGTTGATTGTGCACACCCGGTGCCTTCCGTGCGCATGTAAATGGTAGATTAGCATCTTATATTTGAACTAAGGAAGTACGAAATACTTGGAAATGAAAAAATCGTGTAATACGCAACAGTTGTCTGTTGAAAATAATTATTATTTCATGCAATGTTATGAATTAAGATTCTAAAAATTACCGCATGGATTAAATTAACTAAATAGTCTAAAGTGGTGGTGAATACTAGAAAATAACTATACAACAGTCTTTTGATCTTTCCTCGGGTTTACTGTATATTATAATCATCTAAATGGATTTGTGTCCGTTTTCGTTTTGTCCTTAACACACGTGGAATAAAACAAAAATGTACGCACGTTTATATATATATACATATACAAAATAATTTCGACGACACTATACGTCGAGGATCGGCGCCAAAAATGTGTACGAAACTCGCGCCAACCGGCTGAATGGTTCAAATTTCAAAATGCATTCTTTTCATAATCTTGCTGCTCGCCATACGTTCGACGAACTCAACAGGTCCCTGTGGTGAACTGGCGCCATGTACATAGCCCATTATGTGGGTGACGTATATATATATATATATATGTGTAGACAAATATATGCGATTTATTAGTGTATAGATTTTATACACGTACATGCGTTTACACGGTCACGGTTAAACGTTCTGCCCTCTATCCTGTCGACTACGTAAACATATATATTTAAACGTTTATATACATTTTATACACATAAAATACGAGACCCTTTAATGGGAAGAGGTAAGGTGAGTATTATATATATAGTGCCATAGCGATGGTGGGGGTGATGTTTGGCGGGACGACCGTCGCTTCCGCACAAAACACCGCCAACATTCTATAGGGTCTTGGGGAGCGGTCAATGCCCAATGGCGCGACGGTGGTTTGTTACACACTACCGTCGCGTTTTTAGTCTACCCATTCAATTTATTACTATTGTTACTGTACATAAACACGCGTTGTGCGGCGTGTACGGCGATGCACTCTGCAGTACTAGGTGTAGTAGTAACATAAAGAAGTGCATTTTACTCGGTTCGCAGCAAAACGCACTTGTCCCATCAGCAGAGTGGCTTGTGGTGGGGAACGTACCGACAATAATACGTCATATATAATATAATTTATTATTGTTGTATAAAATATAATACCGGTGTACGGTGAAAAAAAATAATAATAATAATAATAATAAAAAGGGAAAATCGAACTGGACCGTATAGGCGCCAGACTCCCGCCCGCCGCTGCTGTAGTCGTCGCCGCAGACCCGTATGTATGGTGTGCACAAGGAGGTACACCTCTATTACACCACTTCGTTCGTGAGCGTGCGCGCGTACCAAACGTGTCTCGAAAACTAGTTCGTACCTCGCGTTCTCACTACCAGTTGCCCACCAGCGAGGGAAATATCGGATCATTTTATAGATTCTCGCGGACACCGTGTCCGTATCTGCACAACTCGATATCGCTGCGATGGTATCCTCGCACGCGATTTGATTCGTCTATTGTCTTGCGGCCATTGGACAATCCGAAAGTTGTTCCACACATTGATTGTAGTGGCGTCGGAGTGCATCACATTCGCGATATCCCACGGGGCCCGGGTCGGTAAAGTTCCGTCGTTAACAGTGGTTTAAAACAATCGCATTGATATACACCTGCTGGTGGCCCGGCGCGCAACGTCCGGCAACGTCGCGCACGTATCGTCGGGAGCATGACAAATGCGTGCGTTAGTGTGTTGCACTGTTAGTTGTTACAGCGTTGCCGTAATTCGCTCCGGAACGGCCGCCACCGTTCGCCGTTGGATTCTAATCAATGATGCGCGTTTTGCTTTCTCTCTCCCCCTAGACAACAACAACAACAACAATAAATGAACATAACATAAAACGTAAGGGAACCATCGATAACTCGCAGTGGTGTTTCATAATAATACCAGTGTTTTTAGCGCGTGTGCGTTCTTGCTGATTTCCGTTTCCGTGCCATGGAGGTGGACGAGTTCGATTCGGGCCGTTCGTCGTCTACCATTTCGTCGATAAATAGCCTGTTTTCATTCACCAGTCCTGCCGTCAAGAAACTATTGGGCTGGAAGCAGGGTGACGAGGAAGAGAAATGGGCTGAAAAAGCGGTCGACGCGCTTGTCAAGAAATTGAAAAAAACAAAAGGTGCCATAGAAGAATTAGAAAAAGCACTCAGCTGTCCTGGGCAGCCGAGCAAATGTGTCACTATACCTAGGAGTCTTGATGGACGGCTGCAGGTACAGATTAAAAATACCGTCAATAGTGACATGAAATGCATTGTTTACTTATTGTATGATAGTGATCAACAATGTAATACAATATTGATATGCTCCATTTATTTAGGTGTCTCATCGTAAAAGTTTACCACATGTTATATATTGCCGTGTATGGCGGTGGCCAGATCTCCAAACTCATCATGAACTTAAACCACTTGAACATTGTCAATATCCATTTTCTACTCAAAATAAACAAAAAGATGTTTGTATAAATCCTTATCATTATAAACGTGTTGAAAGTCCTGGTGAGCAACATTTATTTTACAATACACTATGCATAATATAATAGTTAAAGGTATTATTTCAATAATTTGTGCAGTTTTATATTTCAATAACTACTATACGTTTGTAGATTTGTTAATTGAATAGTACTTATATTAATTTAGTAGTTCATCATTAAATTTATAAATTATAATTAATATTGACTCAATTTGAACCATAATAAAGACTATAAACATTTAAATCTCAAGAATTAAGACAAAATTTTGTTCTGTATTTCTGTTCACTTAAATTATAATTTTATTTATAATGCTAATTCAATGGTAGCTGTTATATCTACCTAATTAGTTTCTTCATTTTTTGTTTAAATTAAAGTAATTAAATAATTAACATTTAATCATGGATTAAGTTTTCCTCTCGCAAATAAATACTAACAAATTCATGAAAAATTAGTTATATATTGCTTATTATATAAAAAAAGTTAATAAATGTTGATGCAGTAATTAGAAATTACTACCTAGAAATTAAATTGCAGAAAAATATAAGATAATTTTTCTATACTAATTATTATAATTCCATTCCTTTTTAAAACTCAATTTTTAATTCTTATATGCGTTTTAGTCTTACCTCCAGTACTGGTACCAAGACAAAGTCAGCTACCCCCTATGATGTTTCGTCAAATGCCAGAAAACCTTCAATATAACAATTATAACCAAGGTCCTAATTCTCCATCATCAAGTCCTCCACCAAATAGTCCCTTCCAAAGTAGTACACTATCAGGTAAATACACTTAAAATTATTTTAATTTTTAATTTTAATATTTTATCATTTTAAATACCTATAGAATTAGGAAGTTCACCTGGACCTGATGAAAAAGTGATAAGTCCTGCATCTGGAACACAAGTCATGTATCAGGTAATAAGTAATAAGTAATAAAATAAAATAGTTCAAAATTTAGAAAATGTATGTACTTAGGAGCAAGCAAGTTGGGCAAGTATAGCATACTATGAATTAAATAGCAGAGTTGGAGAATTATTTCACTGCCAATCTCCTGTTGTGGTTGTAGATGGTTTTACAAATCCAAGCAATAATTTAAATAGATTTTGTCTTGGACAACTTTCCAATGTTAATCGAAATCAAACAATAGAAAATACTAGAAGACATATTGGAAGAGGTAACAAATAAATATATTTATATATAGAATGCAAATAATATAAATTATGTTAGATATCACTATAGTTAATTGTTTATCAAATTTTGCCAGAATGAAATATGTCTAGCTTCAATGATAAATTCAATAATTAACTTTAGTATTAAAAATTCTAATAGATTTTCTTTGTATGCAAAAATTTATATTATATGTAGAAGCCTTGAAGATTTTATAATATTCATTTACATATAAATAAAAGCGATGCAGTAGAAATAGTAGTTGATGAGCCAATTTGTTTTGAATCACTATAGAATACTAACATCGCCCGCCTTCAACAGTAATGAAACATTGTCATACATAAATAAGTGATAACACTAGTAAAGAATTTCCCTCAGCTCTTATCTATAAATGTCAGTATCCTACCACTGATAACAATTTGTGACATTTTAAATCTATTTTAATCAAAAATAATTCCTTGGTTGACTAATATTCTTTAAGGACACTGCATAATTACTTATTATAAATGAATGTTTATACTTGGTTATTTTCATATGTAACAAAGCTTATCAAAAAATAACATTTTTAAACTTCACTTTTTATGATATACATATTGATTTTAATATAAATATTTGTAAATTATTACAAAATATATTAGAATTAAAATAATTTTAAATAAATTTAGGGATACAATTACATTATATCGGTGGTGAAGTATATGCAGAATGTCTATCTGATTCTGCTGTATTTGTACAATCACGTAATTGCAACCATCATCATAATTTTCATCCATTAACCGTGTGTAAAATACCTGCTGGATGTTCTTTACGTATTTTCAACAACCAACAATTTGCAACTTTACTCACAGAGTCTGTAAATTCTGGTTATGAAGCAGTATTTGAGCTTACTAAAATGTGCACAATAAGGTAAGTTTACTGTTTATAATACTGTTTATACTGTTTACTGTTTATTGATTATTACTAATTTATCTGTTTAGGATGTCATTTGTAAAAGGGTGGGGTGCCGAGTATCATCGGCAAGATGTTACCAGTACACCATGTTGGATTGAAATCCATTTAAACGGACCATTGCAATGGTTAGACAAAGTTTTATGTGCCATGGGATCCCCTCATAATGCTATATCATCAGTTTCATAGGCCAAGATGTTTTTCAGTTTTTAATTATATTTTTAGTATATAAAGGAATTGTTTTTTTTTTTTTTTACTAAATCGTCAACATGACAGATTTATAAGTTGTACACATTTATAGGAAAATAATTTTATTACAAAATTCAGGTAATTTATATATTAAATTAACTTGAAGAAATTTAACATTTTGTAAATTAAAATAAATTTTATTTTGCTATACTATATGTGGTGCTCATTATTGTAATTGCTGTATTTTTTTTTTTTTTTTGTTAAAGACCATTTATTTAATTTTTTTTTTTTTTTTTTTTATTTATATATATATATATATCCTAAATATTTTAAAATTATTTTTTTAATTTTAGTGCTTTGAACAAAAAAAATAATAAAACTCGAAAAAATTTAAAAATTATTAAAACCTTTATGACATATTACTTGTGTAAACATTTTCCAAACATATACAATCGGTATATGTCAGTTCTCAAAATGATTGATAATATTGAACTGAACACAAAAAGAAATCAAATTAAATGTCTTTAATACTATTTTGTTGTTAACTCAATTGCGGAGCGAAATAATAGTAGAAATTATAAAATATGGTTTTTTTCATTCAAGATTTTTCACTACAGTACAAAGTTCTTTTACTTCTTTAAACATTTAAGAAAACAATTTTTACTATCCGAACTTCGTAAATTTTGTACATATTAGCATTGAGGTAGCTACTGCATGAATATTAAGTGATGAGGAAATAGTGAGAAGAATATTCAAACGAGAAAGAAGTAGAGGAAATAACTAATGAATATATAGATTATTTAATAAACCCGAAGATTTGTGAAAACCAGGTTTCTAAAAATAGATATTCAATCACAACATTTTCTTTTGTATTTTTAGTTAGGTAACTGTTAATATCAGATATGATATCTGTCGGTTATTCGGGATTACGAGAATAACATAGATTTTCGGGCGTCGTTCATAACCGCACACTTTCAAAAACAGGTCGTCGTTCAATACCGCTACCGCTCAAATTTATCAATTACATACACAATTATCTAAAATAACATAAGTACACCTCTAAACTGAGCGGCGTTATTCGCTCTCTCGGACAGTTAAAAACGAAAATATCCCCCGATTTGTTATGTAACATCACCTCAAGTAGGTCCCAGGATAAAAAAAGATTTTGTGTGGGATTCATACGAAACCGGCAACATGAACTGTACATGCAAAGTGTGCAGCGAGAAAGGAACTGTTAACCAAATGTGTGCGGTTTTGATGACCGCCAAGATTTTCCCACAAATCACTATATAGCTGCAAACCTACACCGTTTTTATTTATTAATTTAAAACGTATGTAGTTGTGTTTATAACCTACTGGCTACTACAATTACTTCAAGTTTTAATATGAGTAGTTCTAGCCATAATACTGATGATGAAAGTGATTTAGAACCGTATATGTATGTATTATGATACACCTCTTTCGACTATTTCTCAGCAAAATGTTAGTTTACCTTAGCTTAATTACTCCAAATATTTTTTTATAAAAGTATTTGAAAAGTATTGCAAAGACTTTTTTTAAAGTATTTGAGTAGTATCTTAAATACTTCTTAAAAGTTTTTTTAACAACTCTGCTAATGAGTTATGTATTTAGAAATATTTGTTGACAATTATATAATCTCATTAAAGATGGTTTCAATTATTAATTTAACTAAGAAATATTGCCATTTAAGTTGTATTTACCAAAAAAAATTATTTGTAACCTATGTTGTACTTTGTTTTTCATAGAATTCTTAAATTATTTTGACAAATAATTTTATTATAAATAATTTAAAATTTCAAATGTGATCATATTTTAGTCAATTTATAGTGAATAAAAATAAATAATATGCTACTTACAATGTTAGTTAAATTTATATTTAAATAGAAATACAAATATACTGGGTGTTTTATGATCAGAGCCGAACTTAGAGGGGGGCTACAGCCCCGTGCCTCTGTTGACAATTAAATATTTAAGTGGTATTGTAAATTTTTAAGATACTATTTCTTTCGTTTAAAATTTACAAAACAAATTAATCATGTTTCGTAATGGATTTAAAATTATCATCTAATCGATAAAATAAAGCTATTACATTTTGAGATAAAGTTGGCCAAAAACACTACCATTTATATTTACCCATTCTATGAGCTAATCATCAACGTGTATACCTATAGGCCAAGTTTAAACACTTGTATAACACGAATCGCAACAGTTGTAAACTGTGCATTATTTAAAAATATCTCGGGTTTTTGCGAACGCTCAGTTTATCTAAACGCGGGTATACACTATACAGTCTACTGTTTACCTCTACCAAATCGTTGAGGTATTTTCTATTACATACATTTTGTTGGTTAGTTTTACATCATTAATACAATAGGTACGTTAGTTAGTATTCTGTTGACTGTCGTGACTTGTGATTTTAAATTGGTTTTTAGTAGAGTTCGTAAGTTTTGTTCGTTGTTAGTGTATAATAAATACTATTGAAATTTGAAAATGTCTGACAAAAAAAGGATTTATCTCAGTGGTTATGCAAAACGAAAATTAAAGAAGGAGGCTGAAGATGCAGTAAGCAAATTACCTAAATTAACGAATTTTTTTAAAACTTTCAACAGTGTGAACGAAGTTGAAGTAGAAGCTAATACAAATAATAAAGATGATTTGGTTTTAAATAATAGTTATCTTGATGTTGAAAACATAAATAACGATAGTAATAGTATTATGTCTAATACAATAATCACTTCAAACTATGATGCTTTAAATTTTTCTGAAAATGAATCTGACAATTGTTTTGCAGTAGAAAATTCAGTGATTGCTACTAATTTTAATTCGGATGTTCATAACTTTGAAATTGATATTGAATCATATCAAGATCCGGGAATGTGGCCTTTAGTGTTAATTTATTAATTATAGAATTATGCTGCTTAAAAGGACCAGCATTTTTTCAGAATATGGATCCAAAAAAATTTCATTCTTCCGAAAAAAAATTTAAAAATTATAATCGCTCATTAAATATCTCATTATTCGAATTAAAATTGCCTAATGGTGAAATACACTCACGTAAATGGTTTATGTTTTCTGAACAAACTCACAACGTTTACTGTTTTGTTTGTAAACTATTTAATAAATCAAATAATTCAAGTTTTATTAATCCTGGTTTTAACAATTGGAAAAAATCTTACGAAAAAGTTAAAGAACATGAAAATAGTGCACACCATCGTAAATCAATGTTAACTTGGTTAGATCGTGTAAACACTAAACATCGTATAGACAAAACTATGGCCGAAAAATGTTGAATTAAAAAAAAGTATTGGGTTAAAGTGTTGCACCGTGTAGTATCAGTTGTTAAATTTTTGGCTGTTCGTGGGTTAGCATTTGAAGGTAATGACTCACGGTTGGGTTCTCCGAGTAATGGAAATTTTCTTGGAATTCTTGAAGTTATTTCCGAATTTGATCCCTTTTTAAAACAACATATGAATGAACGCGCTAATAAAAGATCAGGCAATATATCTTATTTTTCGATGCGTATTTGTAACGAAATAATTGACCTAATGACAAATGAAGTTTTATTAGAAATAACTAAACAGTTACAAGAAACTAAATAATTCGGTATAATTTTAGATTCTACTCCAGATAGAGCACATAGAGATCAATTTGCTATTGTTGTTAGATACTGTTATAAAGGGTTAGTTGTTGAGCAATTCTTAACATATATTCATGTATTAAGCTATACTGATATTTCAATGGCCGAAGAAGTAATACATTTTTTGGAAAATAATAATATTAATTTGCAGTATTGTAGAGGTCAATCACACGACAATGCTAATAATATGACTAGTATATATGAGGGTTTACAGACTCAAATAAAAAAAAATGTAGTATTGCTTTATTTGCACCTTGTTTTGCTCATTCCCTAAATTTAGTAGGGTCACATGCAGTGAAAAGTTGTTTAGAAGCAATCAATTTTTTTGGTGTTGTTCAAATATTGTATGCATTTTTTGCGGCTTCGACACATAGATGGAATTTGCTTTTGACTGGTCTAAAATCGGAAGAGAAAAATAAAATAATCGTTTTGAAAACATTAAGTAATACTAGGTGGGAGTGTCACACGGAGTCTTGTAAAGCTATTATCTTAAATTATGACCAAATTATATGTACATTAACAGATATTTTTGAAAATTGTAATGAAAAACAAGAAAATCGTCATGAGGCTAAATCAATGAAAAATAAAATAATAAAATTTAAAACAGCTTTTATGTGGAGTGAAATTTGATCGCAGTTTAACAGTGTTAATAAATACCTTCAAAAACCGGGAATAGATTTATTTACAGCCGTAAATTTATTAAAAGGATTAAAAACTTATTTTAGTTCATTAAGAGAGAAGTTTATATATTTTGAGAATAAAGCAAGGGTATTATCAACAAATATTCTGCCCTGTGTTGAAAAAAGTGTAAGAAAAAAAAAGTTTTCGGATGGTACAATAGAAGGAAATTCAAACTATTGTGGTATAAGAAAGTTAGAGATTGATACTTTTTACGTTATTATTGATCGTTTAGTTACAGAACTTGATAAAAGATCAAATGCATATAATAATGTTTGTAATATTTTTGGATTTATTACAAAATTTGGTTCAGAATTATTATCAGAGACTTCTGCCGACATATTCATTAGCACATTTAAAGATGATATTGATACAACTAATATAAAACAAGAGATTGTGCACTTTTCAAATTATGTAATGCAGTTAAATTTACCAATAATTACTCCTCAAAATATTTACTTATATGTACATGAAAATAATTTAAAAGAAGTCTTTCCAAATGTGTACATTTCTTTACGAATTTATTTAACTTTTCCAATTTCGAATTGTGAAGCAGAAAGAACAAATTCAAAATTAGAACTTATTGAAAACGCCAGAAGAACGTCCCTTCACCAAGAAAAATTAAACTCACTCGTTCGTCTATCTGCTGAAAGGGAAATAACTGACACATTGGATTTTTCAAATCTAATTCAGAAGTTTAGTGAATTTAAATCTCGAAAGAAACTATTGACTTAAATTTTTATATTTAATTTAGTAAACATTAATAAATAATTAATATTTTTTATTTTTACCGGTACTTAATAATTATTTTTAAATATTATAAAACTATTAACAATTAATTTTTGATCTGCAAATATAACTTTTGTTCACTAATGCAATAATGTTATTTTAATGTTGACTGTAATTTTTAAATTATATTAAACAAATATTAAAGGCCCCTAAAATTATATTGCCCCAGGCCCATATTTCCTAAGTTGGGCTCTGTTTATGATATGGTTTATTTTTAAGTAATGAAAAATTGTTATTATGTCTTAATAATTAATTAATTAAATGTTATATCATAAAATAATCTTTGAAGAAATGTCTAAAAAGTTGTTATTATTGTACAATTTAAGAATATTATATCTACTGTATATTTATATTATTGAATTTTTAAAATGAGTTTTTGATCAATGATCCAACACGTTCAATAATGTAATTATGTAAAATTTGTTTACTTTATTATTTCATATATATATAAACATATATTTAGTTGTATGAAATTTTCCTAAACATTTTAGTTTATTTACTACAAATAATATTAATATATTGATCTTATTTTATTACTATTTTGAATGTTAGTGTCAAAAATATATATTTTGCTAGCAAGTCAATATTTTTTCATCATATTTAGTTCTTATTTTTCCTAACTCTTCAAGTTCAATTATAATAATTAATTTCTGCTTACCTTCTAGCTGTCCACAATTAAATATTTCCTGAAAAACTTCTTTATAATTTAATTACATTTAACATTTTAATAAAGCGTGGAGTGGTTTCCAAAATTGAAATTGAGTTATAATTTTAATTATTCATTAAATGTATTTAGTAAAACAAGTAGGTATATAACGTTTTAGATTTTGAGTGTTAATTTTCTGCATTACTTAAATTGATTTTTGAAATATTGGTACAACACATTAAATTTTTACAGTTTACCTATAAGACCTCTTTCTTTCATTATTGTACATTAATAATGCTCGCAAACATAAGATACCTAACGACTAACAAGGAATGCGAGCGATGGGTAGCAAGACGTTACGTTTTTTAGTTTTTCTGAATGCAACCGCAACATTTTCTGTCTGTTTGCCATCATTGATTGGTACGAGAATGCATCAAAATAGTTCTACAAACAAATTGTTCGATTGTTTGTCGAACATCACACGGACGTACTTCGACAGACGGACTATTTATATGTACTTCAACAAATCGGGCACAGCGGACTATACGGCTGCCGTCGATTCGTTCACCAAGGCAGTGCAGACTCCAAAAGTCATAATGCCGTATTCATCGTTCAACGTAGTGCAACAGGCGAAGGGCGTATTCGCGTTTCTGGCAGAGGACGACTTGTACATGGAACTGTTAAACATCACACAGCAGAGCCATTTCGTGGCTGTGTGGACTAGGCAATTGTCCATGAACGGTATCCGACGGGTGTTCCGGGACTTCTGGGGTCACGGTAAACACATCAACATCATCGGACTGCTGATGATGGACGATGGCACCGTTAACGTGTACACGTACAGACCGTTTTCCAATTACGGGTGTAGTAAACTGGGCCGGCCGTTCCTGTTGGACTACTGGAAGAACGACACGTTTCGGTGGGGTGTGGACCTATTCTCGAGCAAGTTAAAAACGGGCAACATGCTGGGTTGTCCAATCAAATGCGTCGGGAACGAGCAACCACCGGATATCGTGTTGCGGCGGGAAGCTGACCAGCAGTGGTCTATGTCCGGCCTCGGCGGAAAGATGCTGGAGTTTGTGGCCAAGTACATGAACTTCACGCCGGTGATTACATCGCCTAAAGGTGACATGGACGAGATGTACAGCTGGTACTATAGCGCGGACGTGCTAAACAATATAACGGTTATGTTGTACAACGATGAGGTCGACTTGGCTTTCGGTTGGTACTCGTACGCCACTCTTAACCACGATTACACCACGGAATTGGCCAAATCCACGAGTGTCGATTGCCTAGGATGGGCCGTACCGTATCGCGCGGGTCCTCGGCCGCAGCCGTGGACCAATTATGTTTACGAGTTCGACAAATTCGGTTGGATGTTTATCGGATCAATTTTCGTAGTGGTTGTCGGTTAGTATTTTTACAAATTTCATTGCATTGTCATCATAATTAATAGTAACAAAAATAAGGTAACTCCATAGATTGTTTTTAGTCCCCCATCAAAAAAGAAAAAAAAGCGAATTATTTCACTAGGTACTCAGTATATTGTACATTGTAAAAAAAGTATTAGAAATTGTTCAACCCCAAATAAAAAAATCAAACACTATTTACCCCTATGTAATTAGTAGGGTTCGGATTTCAATGCAATTTCATCTTTTTTTTGGGATGTCTTATGCAATGATTTCCAAGCTACAAATTTGTTTCAGATACTCCGTGTTCTAAACATTTTTTGGGACATTTTTTACATTTTTTTGCATTTTTTATTTTTAGGACATTTTTGACCTGTTTCTTGTATTATGACGAACTTCAGTTGATGTTGAGATCATTTTCAGTATATAAAAACTTTGGCAGATAACCGTCGATCATTAAAATTCCAAAACTTAAAAGAAATACTAATTATACAGTACAATTCCAATATGTAATTTAATTTTTAATTCAATTTTTGATTTTATTTTTTTTTTTTTTGTAGTGTAATGTAAATAAAATTTCATTTTTTACTCATTTTTTAATAATAATTTGAATTTATTTTATAAATGATGCATTTCTTAATATTTTTAGGGCATAAATGCATTTTTTGAAATGGCATTTTTTTTATATTTTTAGGGCATTTAAATCCGAGCCCTAGTAATTAGGTAACATAGTATAAATAAACATTACAGACTGAAATGCTTAAGTGTTTAAAGTACACTATGACATCGTACATTAGCACATAGTACCTAACCTGATTAGTTGGGAAAATATCAGCCCCAAGATTTAAGAAGTGGTTTAAAAAAAATATATTCAAGCAAAATATTTATTGATCTTTATTTAATTAATACAAATTGAAGTGAAACGAAAAAAAAACGAAGTGACATTAAAAAATATTTGGAAAAAATAAAAAAATTTTGTCATAATCGTGTAAAATTATTATGAGCCATTAAAAGCCTAAAAAATTAAAACCCATCTACAAGATTTATCGTAACATTTATCATAGATAAACTAGGTGCCACTGAAATAATATTATGTGAGCAGCTATATTATTATTTCTTTGTATTATAATCCCCACGATTGTCCTAAAACGGTCCTTATCAAACGATATGTAATCAAACGAAAGGTAGGCATACGAATAATACAGCGTTTATTAGTTATGTCCCGAAAACCCTTATTTAATTTAGTTAGGTCCCAGTGTTTTTTAGGTAGATAGTACACTTGTTGGGTCCATACAAAAAAAAAAAAAATGTCACTTCTTATTTTTACAGATTTAGAACTGTCAGTTACCCTTTAATTAGAACACAGGTATGATTTTTTTTTAAGTTTCTAATATATGGCGTATAATTATTAATTTTAATTCAGAATACTGGTATATAGTAAATAAATAAAATGATTAAAAAATTTACACAATTGGTAAAAAATTAAATGATAGAGCTTTTACAAATTCAAATCTATTAATCTTTTAATATTATCAAGTGTATCAATACTTGTGAGTTACAGGTTTTATTGTCGTAGTGGTCGGATCGAAGTATGTTATGAATTTTATAATCGGACCGAACTCGTATGCTTAAGGCCGGATTAAGGAGGGGTTTAACCGGGGTGGTAGCCCCGGGACCCAAACAATTTTAAGCTGATACACATTTTTTCTCATACTTAAATTAGTAGTTTTATAGACAAATTTTATATACCTATTAATTTTATAATTTTATAATGCAATTGATAATTTGTGAAATAGTTAAAAAAAACGTATCGTTCTGCGAACGGCTTTGTAAAGCATGTTTGTCAAAAGGGCCCAAATAAAATTTCAACCCCGGGGCCCAACAGGTGCTTAATCCGGCCTTGCGTATGTTATTGTTTTTATAATCGAACCCAATTAATTGTTCATCTTTATCATAAATGTTATCTAGGATCCAAATCGGGTACATCCGAAAAATATCTAGCTGAAATCGTTGACTGCTAAGCTGAAATGTACGTTTTTCGTTTTACAGGCGTATTTTATTTCTTCCGGAAACTGGGAAAACTTCACCAAGTGAATTCGGTAGTGTTCTTTGTGTACCATACGGCTATCGACCAGCCACTCCGCGTGCAGCCCGTCTGGTGCAGTCTGCGTACGTTCATGATACACTGGCTGTGGTACTGTATGGTGATAAACGTTGCGTACAAAGCGTCACTTGGTAGCTTCATGACGGTGCCGGCGCACGGGATCGAGTTCACGCGCATGGACCAGATACTGGACTCGAAACTGGTGATGGTGACCAGCCCGCGATCGCTGCAGATTATGAATGCGACAACGGGCACCTCCCGGATATCGCGGACGTTTATGAAGCGGCTGCAGCAGCTGCCGCCCACTAACTTCCAGCACGTCATTGACCGGCTGGTGGTCAAACGGGATATAGCACTGTTCGAGATAAAACGGTTCATGTACTATTATTCCATACCGCAGGCTCGACGCATCAAGGTCAAGATACCTATTCGCTTCTTGCCCGGGTGTCTATTGCGCACGCACACCACCCAATTCATGTTCAACGGCGGCTCGTACTTAACCGAATCCGTGAACGCCGTGCTTAGCATGTTGTTCGAGACCGGTATCATCGACCATTGGATCACGCATCTGGGCTCCAACAAGGTGCTGCCGATGGAGAAAATCCGTGGACGAAAGTTGAAATTGGTCAGGATCAAGGAAGCGTTCCTATTCCTGTTCTTTAGCTACGCAGTCGCGTTCCTCGTGTTTGTCGGCGAAATATGTTGGTCCAAAAGATTACACCGTCCTCTGCTGTTGAATGTTTGCAACACCAGAATCGCATCAAGCACCGACATCAGTAGCCCTGATGTCGGTAATGCTGGTCACTACAAAAAAGTTTTATCGCGTCGCCGCCCGTCCTCTCGTGTTGAACTGTTACCATTCGTACACTGAACTTATTTTGATTATAGATATTATTATTTAATTGAAATCTATTGGAAAACAATGCAATCGTAAAAAAAAAATGTTTATTTAATTTTGTTTTTCTAGTTTTAAATATCTTAGCCACAAATCAACCAAATATACGACGTGTTTCACTCAAAAAGTAACACAAAATATTTTCATCTAATGACCTCGAATTGAAATGTGTTTTTTTTCGTGAAGCTAAGGAATACTAAAAATTAATATTTTAAGATCATTTTTAAATTTTTAATCCTTTAATTGTGCGCACGCTTAATAAAACTTTACATTTTTTTAAAGGACAACATCTATTTTCATCAAATTTCGATAGAACTATTTTTTTTAAGCAACTTTGATAAACGCCTTAAGTCTAGAGCACCCATATGGCTTTCAGAACCTCAAAGTATATCTATAGAGTAACTGTGGATGAGACGCTGGGAACAGTCAGAAATCTGTAATAGAGATCTGATCAAGGAACCATTTATAAAAGTCTCGGGTTGGGATAGCTCAAAAGCTATTTGGACAACGCTCAACCAAATAAGAACGGGGAAAGGAAGACTATTCCTTTAGAAGTAACTATCTACTCCATAAGTAGGGCATGACAGACTCTCCACTTTGCGAATGTGGAGAAATGCAAACAATAAAACATATAGCTAAGTCGTGTCCCATTACAATGTTTGAAGAAGGACTAACAAAACTACACGAGGGTGAACCAACAGCTGTGAAATTGCTTGATGAACTTAATGTACGTTTGTTATTGTGTTTGTCAAATTTTTGTGATTCGTTATTGTTTTTAGTGTTGATGTTTATATAATCTATTATACCTACTATAACCTTTAACTTTTTTATACCTACATATCTTAGTTGACTGTTAATTATCATATTTATTTATTTGTTTAATTTTAATAATTTAATCTATACTTTTTTTGGGTGATCTACTTTTCTGCCAAAATTATTTACCGCCAGTACACTAATATATATTTCCTTTTTCCACCATTACCAATTTCAGTTTCTATATTTTGGTAACCATTTACCATATAAACAAGTGGAGTTATTAATAATTTAATGATTTTTAAAATAACAAAAATAATTAGGTATTCAATTTTTAATTAAATATGATTTTACAAAAATACTAAGTGATTGAATAGAAAATATTCTAATATCTAATATTTATGTTCCTATATTAGTTCCTAGTTCCTAAATTGTTATTATTATAGGCAAATTCTTTAACAAATAAGCATACTAGAAAAATTAATTATTTTTTTTACCTGGGTCACAAAAACTAATATCAACCAGACTTAAAAATACCAAGATCAATACAAATAGTAGTGAAAATGATAGTGATAAGATTAACACATTAAACGCCAACGTCAATACGTCGTTGACATGCAGTAACCTGTCCGTTCTAGTGATTTTGTGGAACCGGCTATAACCGTACACATTTGAAATTTTTGGTCGGCTATTCATTAGCGTATAGTTTATTACGTGGAACAGTAGGTTTTGATTTTTCGTGATTTTTATATTTTATTTACAATTTCTACTTTTATATGAAAAACAGTGAATAAAAGGTAAGTTTTATTTTTATTTTACATAAGTTCATTCATTATTTTCCCATTTGGATTGTTATATTATAATATACCTAATAATACATAAATATTCTTTATACAGTAGATATATATATATATAATCATAATATTATCGATAAATACTTATGATCTCCTTTAGTCGTAAAATTACGTAAAATATAAAATATTATCAAACTTGAATAATATTTTTTAAGAAAAATGAGCAACCCAATGACTGACGAAGAATTATTGCATATGTTGGAAAATTCAGATGATGATTTCGGCTTAGATTCTGGTACTGATTTAGGGTAAGGAGATTCTGATGATGCCGATCCAGAATGGAAACTTCCAATAGTACAACGCGAAGAGGATAATCAGATAATATCAGATGTACCTATTATTTCTACACAGGGGCATATTTAGACTTACTTCTAGGGTGGGGGGGACTCAAATTTTTTTCTTTAATTCAGGCTTAAAATTTACAAATAACATTTTTGGTAATATTTATATCAGATGAATCCTTTAATCTAATGTCGGATCCACTTAAAATGGTCTTTTGTGTAGTTTTTTTTAACACCTATCTGTGTATTGAAAGTTTCGTTTGTATTTTATCTAATTTTTCACTAAGTATGGACTGGGTCTTCAATCAAAATAATATATATTATTTATCGTTATGGGACATATAAACGTTATAAGCAATTGAGCGTTTAAACGTTATATAAATTTAAACGTTTAAAAAATTTTCTGTTTACCGTTATTGACAGTTAAAACGTTATGAAAAATTTAATGTTATGCGTTATTTAAATTAGTGTAAAATTTGAAACGTTTTCAAATGTAGTAATACTATAAAACAAATCATAAATTTTGTTTCTTAATAAAATACCCATTACTTATATAAAAATTGTCTTGGTCTTAAAATTCTCGGGGGGGGGATTGCCCCCATCGCCCCCCTCAAATACGCAACTGTTTTCACATCAGGTTATACATGGAGTAATAGACAAACTATAGTGACACGTATCCCTTTTTCAAAATCCAAAGGATTGAAGGTTTTTCCACAAGGAAATGAGCCGATTGATTATTTTAATCAATTATTCGATTACGGACTTTTCGAGTTGATAGTTAACGAAACTAATAAATATGCACTTCAAGTTTTTTTTATCTGGATCTGGAGGTTCATCATCTCGAATCACGGCGTGGAAACATACAAATATACAAGAAATGAAACTGTTTATTAGTTGACTGTTTTATACAGAGTATAGACCCTGCGGTTCTCAACCTTTTTGAGTTCGCGACCCCTATAATGTTACCAATATGTCTAACGATCCTTTTGTAATGTAAGCATTGAAAAATTTTATAAACTGTTATTATTGTATTTATTTGTGTATATATTTTACAAAAAAAAAGTATATTATAAAAGCCTAATGGCGTTAATAAATGGAAAAAAAAATAAAAATTATGAAAATTTAATATTTTGTTAATTTAATGACTCTTTTGCTGTTGTTGATTTGAAATAATTTTTTTTTCACATGATGTGTCCCTAAAAAAGTTGTTGGCGACCTCCCGGTTGAGAATCGCTGGTCTATACGAATTAATTTGTTGGAAGATTATTGGAAGACAAGCAGTGCCGTATTTAGACATTTTGTGCTCCGGCGCAAAAAAAAAATAAAATAGCAAGTCTCTAAGGGGCCTACCCACGGAAAATATAGGAGATAGATCCTCATGAACCTTTTAGATATTCTAAAATCAATGCTATTTTTGTGTAGTAGGCACTCCACCGCACGCTGCACGCGATAACATAATACGCCGTACTATTATAAATAATTTATGTTTATTGACATTTTCGCAACAAATTTGGGAACTAATATTAGGTGTATTAATAATATTCTGGGCCGCTGATAGCTATATTGCTATAAATATATTAATAAATTAAATACATTAACGTTAATTTATGATACTGTTATTAAAAACAAAAAAAAAAAAATAATAATTTTAAAATTTCAATAATTCACAAGTGAGCAAATTTCCGATCATAAAATTTCGGCACCCCCAAAAAACTGGCGCCGGGGGCAGTTGTAGCCAGTGCCCCACCCCCTGAATGCGGCCCTGAAGACAAGCGAGTTATTCAATATAAATTGTTTTCAACAATATATGAGCAGAAATCGTTTTATGTTAATTTTAAGAAATTTACATTTTTTTGACAATGAAAATCACGACAATAATCGCCTGAATAAAATTGAACCATTAATAAAATATTTCAATAATAAAATGTCAGATATTTATGAAGCTTCTGAAAATTTGGCACTCGACGAGTCAATGGTATTATTTCGGGGTAGATTAGTTTTCCGGCAATGAATTAAAAATAAACGCCATAAGTATGGTATCAAACTTTACATGTTCACAGAATCTAGTGGGTTGGTTCATATAATTATGATATATTCTGGACAAGGGCAAGACACGTCGAATGACTTTACTCATACAGAGTATGTTATTGTAAAATTAATGGAAGACCTGACTGATTGTGGTAGATCAGTACATGGACAACTATTAAAATAGTGTGAAACTAGCTCATATACTTCTAGCTAAAGGAACATATTGTACAGGAACTTTGCATGCGAATAGAAAAGGGAATCCTAAAGAAATAACTTCAAAAAAATTAAAAGAAAGTGTTGGAAAGTTTACTAAGGAAGGCGTGTGTGTAATGAAATGGCGAGACAGACGAAAAGTTATAGCAATAAGCTCTGAGCACACAAATAATTTAGTTGAAGTAACTAACAGAAGAGGTGAACAAAAATTGAAACCGACGGCAATTTCTATGTACAATAAATATATGTCAGGAATTGATAGACAAGACCAGATTTTATCATACTATCCATGCGAGAAAAAAACAATAAGGTGGTACAAAAAGATTGGTATTCATTATTTTCAAATATTTTTGCTAAATTCCTACTACATAATATGTAGTACATATACGTAGAAAACGTAAAAAAAATTAATCTGTATGATTTTAGACTTTCTGTAATTACGGCATAAGTAAAAAGCCAAATAAATATAAATGTTCCTCCTGTATTTCCTCCAAAAATAACAAACTCGCACTTTCCTACAAAAATAGCAAAAAAACGAAAAAAAAATTTTTTATAGAAAAGGATACAATGTGTGCCATTCAAAAGACTTACGAAAAACAACAATATTCTACTGTTCCAGTTGTGAAGGTCAATCTGGTTTATGCCTTGAAAACTGCTTTGAAATTTTTCATGCATAATCTAGTTAATTTTTATTTATTTTATAAAACATAATAAGTGTCATTATTATTTTATGTACTAATTTTTATTTTTCTACTAAGTAAAAGATTTGTTTTGTTTTATTTTTAAAATATATTTAAAGTTTTGTTCTTAATTTATATTTATGTATACAGTGTTATTATTATACAAAGCGTATAATTTCAAACTAAAAGATCTTTTGCTTTATTTTTTAAATATTTTTAAAGTTATGTTTTTATTTTATATTTAAAGTTATTTATTTACTTTCTGTGTTATAATTATACAAATTATATAAGTTTGAGGTAAAAATGATTTTTTTTGTTTTAAATAATTTGAAAGTATAATAATAACTTATAATTATAATTTATGTATTATTAGTAGTTATTTGAAAAAAAAAAAATAGAAACTGCTTACTTTTATAAATTACTGAAAACGGGTGCTCATGGCAGGGGTGGATCCATAGTCGGGGAACTGTGGGTCAAGCCATTTCAAGAGGTCATTTATTAGGAATGAAACTGAATTAGAAATTAATACCTTGTAAAAAAAAAAACACAATATGCTCATAAAAGTGTATAAGTATTTTTATATTACTTTTTAGAATTAGTGATACCACCGATAAATGACTTATTTGCGATTAATAAATATAATATAATTTTATCAGCGCAATAAACGTAAGAAATAAAATATGATTTACTTAACTTTATTCTTAAACGATATAATTTAAAATATAAATTTTGAATTGAAAAATTTTAAATTTTTAATATACATGGCATTCATTTTTCAAGTAACTACGATGGGCCAATTGTCCAAGAGTCCAAATCAAGGTCTAAAAAGAGAAAAAAAAATTTCCAAGACTAATTTTGTCAACAAATATTAACTGTGGGTCAGCTGACCCCCTGGCCCAGTGGCGTGGCGAACTTAATTAAGTTATGAGGCACAAGTTATATTGTCAGACCCACCACCCACTCAACCCATCACAAAAAGCATTAAAAAATTTTTTAAGAAAATATATATTTATTCATTTAAATAATAATGCGTTTTTTAACACATCAGATGATCTTCCCAAGAGTGTTATTGTTTCTTCATAATCAATTTTGATGTCCCTTTCACAGCTCAAAAACATTAAACTTTCCAAACATTCCTGGCCCATTGTAGAACGTAGACGTGTCTTAATAAGTTTAACCTGAAAATAATACAATAATTGTAATTAATAATAAGTAAGGAGCAGATGTTAATGCATTTATCACATTTTTTAATAACAGCCAGTACTTGGTTTCTAATATATACCCAACTATATTATTTTAAGATTAACAAAAAATTCAACATTTAATTTTTAATTTTAATAATAATGAATTTAATTTAATTATTTTTAAATTATTATTAAATAAAAAATGTTATTGATGCATATTTTTATACTTTAAAGTGCATAATTGCATGCATATTTTAAATGTTTTTAGAGCATAAACATCTACTCCCTAGTGATAAGTTTAATTTATAAAATATTGTAATTGTATAGTTCTGAAAAGGTAAGTTATTATAAATACTATGAGACCTTCACAAAAATCTTAAACTCTATTTTTAATTTTAAACTTTCACCCCATAAAAGTTACCAAGATTTAAAATCCAAACCTTTATAATACAAAACAAGACAATTAAATATATAGATATTAATTAAAAGCTTAGAGATTGAGAACATTTATATTTTAGAAGCAGAAGAATATTGATTTTTAAAATCAAACTTACTTTAGAAAATGATCTTTCCGCAGATGCAGATGTAACTGGTATAGTCCCTAAGACTTTGTATGCTATATACAAATTGGGAAACGCTGCTGACAAATCATACTTGGACAATGTATAAAGAATAGTACTAACACCAATTTTTGTCATATTAATTTGTTCATCTTGAGTTATATTTTTTTCTTCTTCTTCACAACTTTCACTCGATGATATAGATTCTGGGCAATGTAATAAAGTAGGTAAATCTATACCTGATGTCAGATCATCAAAACTTTTAGAAAAAATAATGTATTCATTACGTAGTTGATTTATATCAATTTCTGGTAACCAAGCCACTAGGTCAGTAAAACTATCTTATGGAAGCTGTTGATTTTCATTTTTAAATGTCCTTAATCTTTCAGGGGATAAAAGTGTAAAATCTTTTAATATATTGTTAGAGTCATTGAATCGAGATTGAATTGAAGTAATTACTTTATCCAAAATTGCAAAGTATGTATGACATCGATACTTGTCGAATGATGAGCTCTGTATTTCATCTGAAGCTTTTTCTCCAGGTAAAATTTTTTTAGCACGTTTTCTTGATTCTTTAAAGTTGACCTCTATTAGTTTATGATGGTTAGCAAATTGTTTTGCTTCCTCTACCAGTTCCTCATTTTTTGTCACTTCTCATTTTAGCTAATTGTTCTTTAGAAATATTGATTAAACGCAGCGCTTCAATAAAGTCTACTGATTTAGATTGTAAGTAATTCGATAGTGGTGTTGTAATTGAAAATATTTTTCTTAATAATATCATTGTTATAACAAAATCAAACGATGATATTACGTTCAAGAAATTTTTTGCACCAGATGATGTTACTCTGTCAGTTGATTTAAGTAAACATTCTAAAGTTGCATATAATGCTTTATATTTTTCAAAGATAACAATGATGACACGGTCATGAGAAGTCCATCTCGTTGAGGAAAATGATACCGTATCCGTATGCCGTGTGGCGACTGGCGAGTGTTAGTAGGTACTGCACGTCTGCACTACGATCCAATATTATAATTACGAGTATTAAAATGAATGTATGGTAACTTAGCAAATCTTTTCTTAGTGTGAGATAGGGCCCAAGTCCCTTGTGAGATAGGACACCTACCCCCCCTCAAACTGAGGCACGTGCCTCAAATATAGCCCTTCGCCACGCCACTGCCCTGGCCCATAGACGGTGTCAACGTGGTGTTGACACGCGCGAATTATACCAATTAAGTATGATTCACACTAGTCAGACACGTACCGACAGATACCGTTCAAATATACTATACTTATTATTGTTTCCATACTAACATTTTCGGTACAACATTGTAAGGTGACTAAACAAGTTTCTCTCTTTTCCCCTTTATTATATTTTAAGGTTGAAATATGTTTAAACATTTTTATGACAATGCATAGAGACATTCTTGGTCTCTAACTTGTTCAATTAATAATTCTAAATTCATCACATGTGAAAAATATAAAAAAGTGAAAAAAATGAAAAATTTGTATATGTACGAACTTCATAAGTATGTAAAGGCAAATAATTTTCCAGTGAATGACAGCAGACGGATATTATAATTATATGCCTGTTGTTCATTCATACTTATCATACCTGTTCAGACTAGTGCCATCCCGACAAAACATTCTCATACGGAATGCCGGACGGACTCTATTGATTCGCTACGTGTATGAACGGAACGGAAACATTTAAATGTAAATTGCTGTATTAAAACAAATTTTAAAATATTTTCCGGAATGGTGTCCGACTAGTGTGTATCGTGCTTTATACGCGAGGCTACAGGCGCCCGCATGTCAATCGACGGCGACGACACGGCGCGCGCACATCGACTCGATGTTGGCGTTTAACTTGTTAAATATATACTAATTTTCTGAACCCGTCATAAAAAGTTCCTGGCTACGCCACTGATTAAAATACTCAATAGTTTCGATCAGTGGCGACACTAGTGGTAGGGTTTGTGGGTTGTGATTTTTTTCCGAAATTTTTCTGAGATTATTATAAATTCTACCCAGGAAAAAAATGATTTTAGGAAATGGGTAATATAAAAATTTGAAATGCAAGAAAACAAAAACGACGATACAAAAAATAATTTTATTTGTGAATAACAGAGTAATGTACAAAATTAATTTTATATTTCATATTTTATTAACTGATCACATAGCAATGCCATGTCTCAAAAATGTGTAGACTTAAATATTTTGGGTGAAATGTTTTTTTATTTTTATTTATTTGTTACAACAAAGATCCACTAGAATTTTAAACTCTAGGGGGGCTACTGCTGTTTACATTCAGCTGGTTCAACTTTTTGTTTCAATAGTTTATCCTGACGGGGATTATATTCAGGATCATTAACAGTTCCTTCCTCATCATCATCATCATCATCCTCATCATTTTCAGATTCCTCTTCTTCATCATCTTCATCAAATTCATTTTCTTCCAACAAGGCTTCACCTATTAGAGAATGTATAAACATCAAATATCTAAGTAAACAACTAAATAAGGTTATAAACACAAACCTGTATAATAAAGTACAGCCCTAGGTATTATCCTTTCACGGATGTAATGACCAATTTCAAAATCTGTGGTCAGCAAACTATCAATTTCTTCATCAACCTCAGTTTCTGGATCATCAGGAACTAAAATATAAATATAAATTATACTTGATAAAGTATCAAATTCTTATTTGTACAATTTTAAAAATTACAATGTTCTAAATTATATTATTGATATGAATATATTACAGTCCTTATTTTGTTCAATTAAATTAAAACACATTAAAAATTTGAATTTAAAACAGACACTGTTAATTTGACAAGTAAATTATGTTAAAAAATTGTGAAATACAATTAAAATATGGTTTAAAAAAATCTGTAACAGGTTAGGTAATCATTGATTTATAGGCTGAATTTAAAGCCACAAATGCACTATTTGTCACAGTGGTAGTTGTGATTAGCCAATTAATATAGCATTATGTTAAAACAAACAATTATTAAAATATGTTGTCAATTAATAACTTTAAATGCTTTTTCTATACATAAATAATTTATTATAATACACAATAAAGTAATACTATTTTAAGTTAAGGAATCTAAACTGTCAATATTTAGAACTATTCAATAAATCAACTCTAAAAATTAATCTTTTGATTTACAGATTTCATTGAAGCCACAAACGCACCAAATTATGTCATAGTATCATTCATTCATTTATTATAGAATTATGCAAGATAAAAAAAAATAAAAAAATAAAAAAAAAAATAGATTACAAATGATAGTAATTAGGATTAACGATTAGATAGATAGACTTAAGGTATATGCCCAGGATTATTATTTTAGAGTTCCCACATGTAACCATATATCACTCATATTTAATTGAGAATTATCTCAACCAATCTTAATTAGAAATGCATTGATTGCATTTTAACCTGGTTTAGTGATTTATATGCAAACAAATAATCTTATTTTTTTTCAACATCAATTAAACTTATAGTATTACAGTAATAAACTGATGAATTTCATATTTTTATTTATGGAATAGCTATACAATTTTTAAAAATGTATAAGCTCCATTAAAAACAAGATAAAATGAATTTAACAATTATATTCAACAGTTACTGATTTTATTTAAACTCACCAGCAGGAGGGCTGAAGAAATGGAAGAATGAAACATTTTGAACAGTTTTGTTAATAAAACGTACAGCACCCTTTACCTTATGCTTTTGTTTCTTTTTGACAACTTTAACTGTTACATTCTTTCCTTTATTCCATTGAATTGTACAGCCCTAAAATAATATTTAATCAATTAATAAATGTTTACACGAGAAATACAAATGTTCACTTACTTTACACTTATAAATTTCAGGACCTTCAAAACTTAATGGATTATTTTTATCAGGAACACATTTCATTTCATACTCCTTGGTCAAAACCGTATTGGTGAACCATTCATTTGGAGAAAAATGGAATTCCAAAGCAAAACCCTAAATAATAATAATAAATAAATAAATAAATAACAACTAAATAAAAAATGGAATATGGATTACCATAGGTTCATCCAAAAGATAAACTTTGATATCTGTTAAATGACTCAAGATAGGTTCATCATGGGGTTGAATCATATCACTGATAAGACTTGTGTTTTTTAAGATAGTAAGCCAAAAATCTGGAATGCCTTTGATTTGTTCATTATCTATTGTTGTTTCAGTAATTTCCACAATTTGAAAAATTAATTTTAAAAATAATTTTAATGAAATGAAATATGTACTCACGGTTTTTTATCTTCAAGTTTAACTTTTCCTTCCATATCCGTTGAAAGGTCCTTAACATCGTCTTCGTCATCTGAAGGAAAATCACATTCTTCTTCGGTAGGCTCATAATTTCCTTGCACTATATCACTTCGCTAGATAATAAAAATAATTATGAAATCAATATACTTGAGCAAAATACATTAATATTTAGGATACACAGACATTGTACAATTTACCTTATTATAAAAGTCAGCATACAGTTTGTGGTATTTACATTCAAGAATATGAAGCTCAGTATAGAATTTTACATCAATGTCAGTCTGGGATACAAGTAGGTTTTTCAAGGCTTTCACTCGTTTTTTTACTACTGGTGGAAGATTCTAAAAATATTTATTCAAATATTAAAATTATCAATATATAATATTTTAATACCAAATATATACTGATTTAACTGTTGATAATGAGTAAGAGATAACTTTTCAATAACAACAGACAACCGGATTTTTAATTACTTTATTTCTGCATATAAGTAGTCAAGTTATAATCCTACTTAATTCTTAAGAAAATTATAATTATTAAAGGGTTGATAATTACAAAAAAAAAATAATATATATATACAATATGTTAATTAATTGGAAAGTCAGTAATTATTATTCCTAATATAATACAGATATTGAACTATTGTTTTTTTAACATGATATGCAACTTATAGCCTAATTTTACCATGGTTAAAAAAAATCCAAAATTTAAAACTGCTAATTTTTTTTTTGTTGATTTTTCAAAATATTTTTTTTTTTTAAAAAATTTCGAAAATAGTTTCTTTGTAGAATTGCTTATAAGTGACTCAGAGAAAAAAAAATTTTGAAATCGGTTGAATTTAGAAAGAATGAGAGCTCAAAAACAAAAATATTAATGAATTGTATGTACTTCATTACCTAATATCATATTATTAGTTATCTATTTATAAATTTAAATACCATAAAATTTTACAATTAGCTTTTTTTTTGAAAATATAAAATGCTCTCATTCATTCAAAATTTAACCTTTTTCAAAAAAAAAAATTTTTCTTCTAGTAACTCATAAGTAGTTTTACAAAGTGGATATTTTTGAAATTTCGGATTTCTTTTAATCGTGGTAAAAGATAAGTCACATATTACGTTAAAAAAAAAAATAAAACTTCAATACCTGCATTATATTAGGAGTAATAGCTACTAGTGGTGTGAAATAAATCCGGATTCTCCGAAAAATCCGGATTTTGGATTTTCAAATCCAAATATCGAATTTTCGGATTTGAAAATCCGAATATTTGGGTTTCACATTGTAGATTTCTGTATTCTAAAGCAGAAAATAAAAATTTGTCGTTATAAATTCTAATATAAAAAAACGAACATTTTCTATTTTAAATAAAAAACATTCATCGTTCGTTACAAATATAAATTATTATATTTGTAACCTAACCTAACTCTATTTAGGTATTATTTATTGTGTATTTTTGGATAAATTATTCTGCTACTTATAAATGTTGTTACTAATTTCATGTATAAACTGAGTTTAGGTTGTAATATCTACACGTTATTGCAATATTGATGATTGTTATTGTTATATTTTTGCTTTAAAAGTTTTCCTATAAATATATTAATTTTTTACAAAAAAAAAAAAATCTGTATTTATCAAGGCTTTAATATAAGGAATCCATAAAAAATATTAATTTAATGCTTCAAAATCCAAAATCCGGATTTCGGTTAAAATCCGAATTTGAATTCTGAAATCCGAATTTTTATCCGAATCCGGATTACGGATTTCGAATTTCATGAATCCGGATTTTCGAACTTCGGTAAATCCGGATTTTTCCCAACACTAATAGCTACTGACTTTCCAATTAATTTACTTACTGTATAATACAGACGTATTATAAATGTATCTCTATTAATTAAATTCTTTTAGTATTAATATATTTTTGATAAATAAATTTAGCTAAAAAAATTTGACATCATGGTTCATATTATGGTACTTTAGTTCATAAAAGTGGAGTAGGTTATCGTATTGTGCTGAAGCCAAAAAAAAAAAAAAAACATTACCTAGTTCAGAAACATCAGATTATGGGGTGGCCTACATTTATTTCACTATATAAAGCATATAAATACACAAAAATTATATAAAGCTGAATGATTTTGATTCTGATATTATGAAGAGAACCGTCTACAAATTTAACAATCGGGGTAGGTACCCAAATTTTCAATTGATACTAAATGTTGTAAAAAAAAAAAAATTACCCTAGGTACATCCCTACCAATATAAATATATACCTATAGAATGAATTTGGGCTCAAGTTAAGGGCCAAGTGGCAAAAAATAACAAGAAGTTTAAAATGGTTAATATTGAATGGTTAATACATGAGGCATTAGACGTAGTAACAATAGATGATTGGAATAAATGCGTCAGTCATATAGAGAAAATTCAGACGGAAGACAAAAAAAATTAAAAATAATGAGGGACACCACTATGATAGAACCCATAATTATGACTTTATTACCAGAAGACAGTAACTGTAGTGATGACTAAGAAAACCCAAGGATAAGATATTTGTAATAAATATTTTATTAAATCTATTTTTTTTTTTTTTTTGAAAGTTTCATGTTTGGTTTGAATAAAAATTTTTATAAAATACTATAAATATTTTCAGTAAATTTTGTTTAAATTAAAAAAAAAAACATGGTAATTAATTTAATGAAACAACTAGATTATAATTGTAAAATTGTAATGTATTTATCATACATGACAAAGAATTTATTAAAATATTAACAGGTATAAATACACAGAATGATTTAGGAAATATTTTAATTTTTACAGAAATAATAAACTTTAGTGGAATCAATTACATAAATTAGACTGCATACCTAAAAAATATGAATAATAATAAATATCTTACTGGTAATAAATCTTCTCCCTCTCCTTTAAATCCTCTGAATTTATATTGCTGTTGAGAGTCCTGTTCCATATCAGAATCTGATGATGAAGAATCAGATTTGTTTTCTGTAGACATTCTGTTAACAAAATATTAAAACATTCAAAATATCAGTTGATTAAGTTAGGACTACTATTGGTCAATTTAAACAAGGTCATTTACAGTATTATTAAGAGTCAATTAACGGCATACATAACCAAATGCTAATTGGCTTAGTATATTCAAGATTTTAAAAATATCCAAGCAGATAAGTACGATTTAACAATAAAAAAATTATTGATGGTTTTGAAGAAATAATCATAAACAAAATGATGAGTGGAGAGTAAAAAATAATAGGCAAATGTAATGATAATTTCAAAAATATCAAACAAGATGTACCTAATACAATAGATGCAACATAAATAATTTAAAATAAATGCAATAAAATAGACACGATAATATATATATATATTATAATGTAGTTATAAAACCAAATTCAGTTGCACGATGATAATCAATATATTTGATGAATAATAAGAAAATAAATATCAGTTTAAGTATTAAAAAATAACACACATACAAGGGAAACTACTAAAAAAGGAATCAATCAGTTAATAACGTAGAACACCGGGTTTTAGATACATACTTTGCGCGGTACAAAACGGTTGAAACACACTACCTAACCTCTTATCACTACTCTCACCTTGATGTGCGTAGGCTGTGAACAAGGAAAAATAACTACGACGCAAATTGATATAACAAGAATGCATCTTAGAATAGATATATTAGTAAGATTCACTTAATGGGATTAATAATGAAAAAAGATCATCGGAATAATCGGGCGCTTGATATTGCCGGCCCGCGCAAGAACGCATTTAAGAAGCACATGGTCAGTGGTCGGCGTGTACATGACATCAATGCCGGTTCCGAAGCTATACTCCATAGACGGAATGAACATGAATTAAAACAGTATCTTACCTTAAAACCGTGCAATAAACTATAGTCAGGACCTGCGTTCAGAGTGGATTGATTCTAATTGCCAAATGTATGGTAACTGGCCGAACACTGATCACTCACAAAATCTGTACAACAACAATAATGAGAGCCGCACTACCGAACGGAAGAGAGTGAACAAACGTAACCGTAACGACCGTTCTCTCGTACCATCGATAACAATGGACGCGTATTGACCAATCGTTTTTCGACGTTGTAACCGTAGCCAAAGACGCTGTAACTGTAAGCTGTTTAAATTCTCCATGCCACTAGACCGTATTGTCGAACAGACCGGTTTCTGAATCACAACTGGAATAACCGTACACAGTTTAAAAATAACATTATATATTTATAGAATTAATGATAATCAGTGAAGTTTGTGGCATGTAGTAACAATTATAATCGTAATAATTGTCATTATCATGGCTGATGATAGACATTGAACGATTGACTCACGCGGCAATTGGTTTTGGCCGTTTAAGAACACATTAGACAATTTAACCGCCTGGATTGCGTCGGTCACACGCCGCTAATGTAATTTATTTTTCATTATTTTATATAAAATATAGCAATTTTTTTATTTTTCAATTTTATTTAAATATTAAAACGCAAAATATGGTAAAATTATGAAATTAAGTGCATAATTATAAATATTTTAATGACTTTAAATACAAGCACTGCTTATATTCCTGTCCTTCAACAGAAACAATTATACCTATATCATTCATATCTGATTTCTTTGGAGAAATAGTAAAATTCCATCATCTGAAAACTGAAACTTTAATTCTGGTTATTGTTAGTCTATTTAAATATATTTATGTATAAAATGAAAATTAATAATTGAACATACATCATATCCCACGAAGATTTACTAGTTTTACGTATGTGGACAATTGATAATAAAGCTTTCTAACTAGTGTTTTATTTATTTTAATATAATTGTATTATATTAAATTTATATTTTTAGTAGTCTAACTACTAAATAAGCCCGTATTTAGGGAAAAGCACAGGTAGGCACATGCTCGGGGGCGGCAAAATATTATAGCAAAATTAATTTATAAAATAATGTATCTACTAGAAAAAAAAATTGTATTTTTATTATAATATAATTAAAAAGGAAATTTAATGTTTTATTATGTTATAATTTGTTAATTAAAAAAGGTATTAAATGATTTTCATTTATAAGTTATATTTTAATATTAAAGAATCTCGATTATGGACGAAATAATAAGTGTTATATTATTATTTATTTATGGGGGGGGGGGGTATAAATTATATCCCCCGGAGTGCCAAATTTTTAAATACAGGCTTGCTACTAATAGAAATTTATTCAATTCTTTTTTTATTGTCAATTAATAATATATAATAATAAGCATATCTAGAGATAGAAAAGGTAGATTTTGTCCAACACTCAATGATATATAATCATTGATGATATAATTAAGAAGTAATCTCATTACAACCGAAAAGTAGCACAAGGTTATTTAAATTAACTTTTTTGAATAGTAATTTCTTGTATATCTTAAAATACTAAAAAGTATATTTAAATAGCATTTAATATAAAAGAAATAATATTTGATCACAGATGAATCTCTATAATGCACAGAAAGTAGTAAGTAGTAAAACAAGTTATACAATCTGTGATAAAACAATTTAAAATTCAATTTTGTATATTATCTTGTATCCTCGTATCTTGTATTTTTTTTTTAATGGAAGATAAGCGTGAAAACAGTAATAAATAAGTAAAATCATGTTTTGTTACAATATTTGAGTTGTAATAAATAGTAAGATTCTAGTAGTTAACTTGTAGTTTAATACATAAATAACTATCTTTAAAGAAAATTAAAAAAAAAAACCATACAAAGAGTTATTTAAATATACATTTGAAATTAAAATCAATTTTACAGACCCTAATTATACATAGATTATAAAATTGTAAAACTCTTTAAATAAAATGTTTAAATAAATTTAAAAAAGACTAATTATGTATTTTGGTTTAAAGTTTAACATTAAATAAAGTAAAATTTAAAAATATTAAAATTGGAAATTAATGTAAACTTAAAATTAATAACTTAATCATAAAAACAATGTCTTTAAAATATTTATATTAACTTAAAAATAAAAACAATATTTGAAATAATAATTAATATTATTACATTTATTATTGAAATTAATTGTCTAGCTTAATTCCATCACAAAATAGATAATTTGATCTATTTTGTGATTCACATTGTTCAGTCCTATAAATAATGTTCTTGAGTTTAACAATCACATCAAAAAGGTTTATAAAAAAATGAAATTCATTTTTTGTCTTCATGAATTAAGTACTGTTTAACAGTTCTAAGTACTTTTAAGGCACCTTCTATAAACTTTATAAATTAAAATTTATTAAAAATAATTAATTTATATACATTCAATTTATCTAAAACAATAACTGGAATTACTTGTCTTGTGCATAATTCAGTCTAAAACTAGATACATAAATAGTTATAATTTATAACAATCACACCAATAATAAATCACTTTTCAACATTCCCAAATCATGTTTATCACAATCATAATTATATACAAGCAACATATAGAAAGGAATGAGTAAAATTATGATTTTTGTTTTGATAATTTTAACGTCTTGTCATTACTTAAATTTGGGGAATCAGAATTTTGATAGGTTTTAGCTGTTTTACTTTTAGCTGATAAAAATATTGGGAATAATTTGTGTCGTTTTATGCGTTTCACAGACACATCACTAGTTGTTGGAGATACTGGGCCAGCATCAGTACGGCTAGTTGCTTTTGAAATTTTTCTATGCTTAGGATCCAAACTAGAATCTGAATATGAATGGCGGAATATATCAGGAGCGACCTATAACAATTATTTTTTTTAAATTATTAGACAAAATTTAAAAAAAATATAATTTATTATATTTTATAAATTATTTATTTATTATAATATATATATATATATATATATATATATATAAACTATTGCTAGTTAAAAATAAATGATTATTTTCCTATACAACTTTTGATTGAGAATAAACACTTACTATCATTGGTTATAAATATTTATAATCAATGTTATTATTAAAGAAAATCTAAGAACTTTCAAATTATTATTAATTTGGTAAAAGTTGCAATGAGGAAGAATTAGATAATATTTATTAATTACAATGGATTTCTAGACATTGTATTAGGCTTAAAACATTTAAAAAATATTATTTCATCTTATTAAAAATATTTCTATTTGGAATTTGGTTTGAAAAAAATTTAATAACACACTGCATTCCATAAGTTTTGAGGTTACAGCCACAAATGTTACAAATAAGTTTAAAAATTTTTTAAGCAAATTTTATATTTAAAGTAATCACTAGAGGTCAGATTAATATTCTTTTAAAATGCTTAAAATATAATGTTTTTTATGTCGTGAAAAAGGCAATATATTCTCTAAATATTTTTTAAAAATACCAAATGTATGATGCTTTATATCTTTAAAAATACAAATATTCTTTCAATATTCTATACAAAAAAAAATTATTTTAATTACTTGATTTAAATTTATTTAATTTTATTCATTATTTATTTGATTTACAATAACATTTTTGAAAAAAAAAATATGGTTTTAATGCAAATTTTAACTGTACATGAATTACCCTTAATATCTAGGGATTCATTTTTATAACATTCTAAAAGGATATAAAAATAACTCATATTGTGAATATTTTATTTATTGATCAATATTATCAAAATGCCAAATGTAATATACATAATATGTGCATGGATGTGCAAACAAATAATAGGTAATATAAATTATTTTCTTCAAAAAAAATATTTATAAAAATAAGACCTTCAAAAATAAAATGTTTATAAAATATTCTCAAATATTCTCTAACATATTGAATATTCCGTAATCCCTAAAATATGCTTTTTTATGTAAAATAATTTTTTTTTTTGTGAAATTTGTGTTTGGTGAATCGTAAAGATATCTTACTCCCATTTAACTTCATAGACTAGAAAAAAATATGAAAAATCATTAAAATCCGACCTCTAATAATCACCATTACAAACAATACAACTCATTATGCAGTTTTTTTATAACATGTGTAGTCAGTTTCAGGAATGTTTTTGAGCTTCTCAGTCACAGCTTTTTGAATTGTTTCAATGTTGGCAAAATAATTCTTTTTGAATTCCTTCTTCAGCTTAGGAAATAAGAAATATTCTGGATGATTTAAGCTTGATGAAGATCGTGAAGTATTGGAGCTATTTTTTCGGTTAAAATGCTGGAGCAATTAATGCTATGCTTTAAGCAAGAAAAAAGACCAATCTTTCTACAAAACTGGTTTAACGCGTTCAATTCTTTTACAGAGACGATCTAAAATGTTTTTATTCATTTCGGAATTTATATTACTTCCTGGGGGCACAAATTCTTTGTGTAAATCCCACAGTAGTAAAAATAAATTCAACAATATTAGTGATTTTTGAATCATTAATTTTTTGGTTGTAACGAATTTTAACGACTTAATAGGCACTTTGCCGTTTTATTTTCGGATCATACGCAAACACCAGCTCTGAACACCCATTATTTTGGTATTTTTTGACTATTTCAAGCAGATCTTCTGCGTGACAGACATGTCGCTGTCGTTATCTCGTGGTTAGCGCATCAGTAACAAAAACGCACACAAAGTTTCCTTTTCCTTAAATCGAAAAATTGTTTTTCAAATGCCAATCAGGTCTTATATTAATCTATAACTAGGGTTTAAATGTTTATTCAAAACAGCTGTAACGCGAGCAATGTTTTCGTTTGTTTTCATCAGGGTCGGCGCTACCTTTTGCGAGGCCCTTGGCAAAACTTATCTTACCAATAACCATTAAATAAATTATTAATATAATTAAATAAAAACCATTAAAGGCGATGATTTGCGATCAGACTCGGTGACAGCTGCACGCGATATCGGGTAATGACTTATATCGTTGGTGCGTGCATGACATATTAAATATAATATAATATTAGTTTTGTTACAAGCCAACGGATTTCTCCAGGAATCGTAATCGTCAGGTGATCCACACATTTCACGTTTTATTTTATGAGATTTCCATAAAAAATATTTTTCAATGAAAATTTTAAGCGCGAGGCCCTGGACAAATGCCTCGTTTTGACTCCTCCCTAACGCCGACTCTGGTTTTTATTGTACTTGGTCTTTAAATTCACTGCTTGTCATCAAATTACTTCATGACGGAGAAAAACATGACCGAAATACAGTAACACGGAATATAATTGACTACCATAAGAACTTGATGACATTTAGAATGTTTTTGTAGCATTTTTCTGAACTTAAAATTGTATTGCAATTCGTTCAAGATTATTTCCATAATTAAATTATAACTACGGTAGCGAACATACACCATCAAATTAAATATGATTATACTGACGAAAATTATTTTTATAAATTTGAAATTTAGTACAAATTATTATAAGGGTAAGTACTTCCTAGAATTTCATTACTATCCCGATAGTACTATTAATTTTAAATGGTTATCTCAAAACTTTTAAAACGCAATTGTAACACGAAATAAAAAATATGTTTAATTATAATATTTATAATATTATATTATTATTATTATTATTATATTATTATATTATAATATAATATTTTAATGTTTAATTCAATTAATTAAAAGTTTTTTTTGGCTTTCTATTATTTTCTTTAGTTTGGAATAACCTATTCCTCTAACTTTATAAAAATAATGGTACACTTACAACTTGTTCAGATGTGGATTGATTTGTGTCAAGATTATGATTATGTGATTTCAACATTGTTTCAGATGTTTGAATACTTTGTTGAGATTGTTTTACATCACATGTTTCTTCGCCGAGTATGAAACAAGGTTTTGTATCTAAGAAACGAGTTTGTTCGTCGTCCACACATTCTGGTTGATCGCCCTCTGACGAGTCCTGGCCGTTGTCCCGCCATTGTCTGGAATTTTCACAAGCACCAAGGTCTTGATACGACGTCCCTGTAAATATGTCATATTTAATAAGAATTTAATTAAAGTTTGATATAACACTCAAGCCAATATGAAGTATATAAATGTAATACAATCAAATAAATAAAATACTCAAAAAAAACCTCATGTAAATTTGAGTTAAATCACATGTATTTATGAGCATTAGTACAATATTATTGAAAATTAAATTAATTATGTTTGTATTCATAATGATGAAAATATCAACTAATAATTTAGAATTAAATTCTAAAAATAACATTTACTATGTAATTTAATTTCACAATAACTTAAATAAGTAATCAACTAAGCCTAGTCTGTTATGTTAATATTTTTATAACTCTTTCATACTTATACAATTATTTTATAATCAAACTAAGTACAAGCTCCTATCAAGTTTATTTTAAATTTATAATTATAAACATATTCAATTTTTGAATATTAAATGCTTAGTTAAAAAAAAAATTGATATAAATATAAAAATAAATTTTACTGTCAAATTTGACTAGAATTTTACTTATTTTTTAACAATAATATTCTTGTATTGAAATATAATTTTTTTATATTGAAATAATAATATTGTTATATTTTGCTTACCACAAAAACTCATCTTTATGCAGCAGTTAGGATAAAAAAATAATTAAATTAATAAAATGCACCAATATTTTCTTAACTTATTAATGTATAGGCCAGATAATATCTAATAAATCAATATATCCAATAACTAATACAAATAAAAATATGAAGTAAAACTAAATTCTAAACATAAATAAAAATTATAAAATGAGTCAAGAAAGTGATTTGTGATGTTAAAAATAAAAAAAGTGATAAAACAGGCATTTTTTAAAACTAAAACTATTAGGATACCCTAATAATTGTTACAGAGTTTAAAAACTATTACATCAAAAAAGTTAAGAAAAATACTAATTTACAATTTACAATTAAATTTATTTAAACATTAATTTACAATTTGAAACAGACAATTTTTTTAACAAGTCATTAGTTGCGCTATGGTCAAAATGTACGTACTTTTTTGACATCATTATTAAAACATGAAGAATAAAATATAAATCTTTATTAAAACATTTATATTTTTTTCTTCAATCATTGATACTCATATAATATGAGTCAATAATTTACAATCAATAACATTTTTAAAAAGTATGCTGAGTGTCAATGATTGAAATATAAAATGTAAATATTTTATTTAAGATCTAAAAAAAGAGTGGTAATTTTTACCATAGCGTAACTAACAATGGGTTAATTTTAAAAGTAAAAATAAGTATATTATTTTAAATTTTTTCTGAATGATAAAATACCTTGTTATAATAATAAATTATTAATTATTATTATTGTATAACTAAATTAATAATGAAAACTACCTATTTAAATAATGTTTGTTATATTGTATAATTAATTTTAATAATGTACAATAAAATAATTTTCTTTTTTAAATAATAAATAATTAATATTAAAATAATTTATGTTTACAAAATTATTCAAAACAAAAAATTACAATATAAATAAAATATCAATATGTGGTACCAGTTAAATTAAAATTTGTGTTTCAATTCCATTATAAATAAGTAAATTATAGTAAAATATCTAGTAAATAACAAGCACACTCTTATTTCAAACTAATTGAACAATAATGAAATAACATTATTGCAAGCAATAGAAAACACTCGAAGAAACAGTATAAAACAAACAAGCAGAGGTAAATTTCAACCAATAGATTCATCGTCCCTTCCCTTACCTGGGCCCACGCAAACTGAATACTGACTGGAATCGTCTTCAAGATCATCTTGGCTACTCATGCGCCCTGAAACATATAATAAAATTGGATATTATATTACCAATTTCAACTAATATTTTGAAATTGCGCTAACCTCGCAATGAGAAGTTTCGCCCATTTGCTACATTTCTATATAATATGTTCTCTAAATGTGACAGACCATTATTATTTATTATGTTGAATCCGCATAAAGTTTCAATTTGTTTCCATCGATGTACCCTTTCTGCGAGCTCTTGGGTTACTTCATTTAATGATGTTCTAAAATATTAAATAATAAATGAGATTTATAATGTTGATTTAAATTGTGATATAGATTATTACCTTGCTTCCACAATACTGCGATCGACATCATCAATTGATTTTCCATGAGTTGATACAAATGCACCTACTAAACTAGATCTTTTCTTACGTAATTTTTCACACTGCAAAGGTAAAATTATTTAAAAAAAAATTTAAAATTCAGATTTTTTAACAAATTAACACTTTATTTAAAATTTTAATTTGGTTTTTTCTTAAATTTATAACATTCATATGGTTAATTTGTGTTAATTTTATTTTGTAAACATATTTTACATTCAAATTTAGAAATTTAAATTACACTAAATGACTTTTATTTACATATTATTTTATATATAAATTTTACAATTAAAAAAAACGAATGATACAATTTATAATTAATCTTTTAAAGTTTGGATTTAACTTGAATTTATTTGTTTAGATATTTTTTTTTTTTAAATATTGGCTTGGATATTAATGGTCATTTTTAAAATATTGTTAAATATTAATTTTAATTTATAAATATCATTAAAAAATATATTAAAATATCATTGGGACATACTAGAATTAATATAATTATTGATATTAAATAAAATTAATTAAGAAGATAAAAATAAATAATTTAAATTTTTGGATTAGTTGTTTACAATATATATTTTTAATTATATATAAATGATAAACCTACCGCTTCTCTTGCTTGTTGTAATTGTTTCTCTGCACTTAATTTCTTTTTAATATAAGATTTATTTTCAATTTCATGAGTTAGTTGCAACCATTGTTGTAATCCATGTGGAGGTGTCCAACAACGGTCATCTAATTCACCTTCTGCTCTAGCCAATTCATTTCTTAACATCTATTAATCAAAATAAATATTTAGAAAAATGATCTATTTAAATATTTACATATAATTTTTAAAATACTTCAACTTCATTTTTGAGTTGAGAAATTTTTTCTAAATCAGAATAGGATGATTTCAGAATTAAGGAATTTTCATCTTTAATTTGTTGTTCTTGTAATTGTTTTTCTAAATTTGCTTTTTCAGTAGTAACATATTCTTGTTCTTGTTTTGCTTTTTCAAGTTCTTTCTGAAAAAATGTATTTAGTACAACTAATATAATATTTTTTTTAAAGCAATTAAAAAGATATTATGAAAATGAATATACCTGTAAATCTTCAAGAGCAGTTTCAGCTTTTTGCAAACTTTCCATATCTCTCATCATACGTTTCAAATGTTGTGATGAACTTTTATTTTGGTTGTAAGCATACCAAAAACCAATCAATGTTCCCAACAATAATGTTATTAAAACTAAATCTTTCAAATGTGTCACATTATCTATTAAGTAAATAATTTTAATAAATTATTAAACCTTGTTAATATTAAAATAATGTAAGTTATTAAAATATTTAGAATATTTTATACATAATATTTTAATATTAATAAATGAATTATTAATGCTAGATTTAAAAACAGTTAACTTAGGTAAATAATAAAATACTGTTTAAGTTACTAACCTTTGGGAGGCCCAAATAGAACAACATCCATAGCTTTTAAAGCAATTTTTTGCTTATGAATTGGATCTTTAATTCCGAGTACGTTATTTATAAATTGCATATTAGTAACAGCTAACCTAAAATTATACTTAATGATGATTAAAAGTTTTTCAATAACTTAGTAGGATTGTTAATATTTCATAATAGACAAAAATTAAGTTTTGATATCTAACTAATAAAATATTTTTTTAAATATGTATAACATGCACATATTAATTTATTACAATAAATGAATTTAAATGTTTTATTGAATGATTTGTTATAAATTTTATTTTTGTCTTTATAATTTAAAATTATCAATTTTTTATGTGTTTATCTATAAATATAATATAATTTATTCTCAAACCTAAAAAAAGCTTACAAAAGTTCACAACTTAATAACCAATAAGTCAATGAAACATCAATATAAAAAATCAATTTTCAACATAACTTACATCTCTAATACCCAACTTAGACTATCTATTTTCTCCAGTGTGGAAACACTCTGAAATCATTATGGTACCGAAACCACACAAAACAAAACTATGTACATTATCTACTATGGTAAATTGTTTGAAAAATTAACTTTTTAAATTTACTGCTCAAAAAAATAATTTCCAAAATGCAGGGAAAACAATTTTCCAAAATTTAGTTTGGTTTCCACTTTAATCACAGTAGAATCTAACAAATTCACACCTCATTACTTATAAAATGGTCAAAATCTTAAAAAAAAAACTTTCCCAGAGTTTTCCTCGATATTTCTATAGATTTCATTTGGATATGACATTTTTTTTTCAATCTTAAGCAATTTCTTCCTGCTCTTAACTATTTAATCTTAAAGTCTTACTTGGAAAACCATACATCAGTAATTTTTTGTCGAAATTCGTGTTAAGATAAAAAAATGATCATTGTAAGAGTTCACAAAGGAATTGATCCATATGCTTTCAATAATGTATAAAGTATACTTGTATATATATATACTCGTATATATTGTATATAAAGTCATACTTCTGATATACCTATTTCAACTCATTACATTTTCTGATGACACTGCAATTTTAGCATTGTAGTAAACCTCGCTTAAATAAAATAGAACATTGGACCAAAAATTTTAAAGTTAAAATTAAAGTTAAATGGAATGATAAAATTAAGATAATTCAGATAAAGTAAATTTTACTTCAAGTCAAAACAAATTTTACCAATTTCAAATTAACGAAAAGTAAATTTCAATCTTACTCTCAATCAAGTACATAGATGTCATTCTTAACAAGTGTCTGACTTGATTTTATCACAATAAGTTCAAATAAAAACAAACTAATACTCACTTTCACCTACTAAGAAAACTCTTCAAATCCAAAATTATTTTTTATACATCTTTTATTAGAACAGTCTGATTCTAAGGTATTCAAATTTCAAGTCATGACAAACCATTAAATATACACTCACTTCAGATCATTCAGTACATTAACCTCAGACTTTTAATGGAAGCTCCTTGGTTTGTTACAAATGAATCGCTAAACAAATATTTCAAACTAACTACCAAGTCAAAACTTATTATAAAAGATTTTATGTTAAAATATCAAACCATAAAAACCCCCTCATCAAAAATGTGTCTTTATTTTCCCTCCACAATAAAACGAAATGGGTCCAGAGATTAAGTCTAATTTTGAATTATGTAAGTATTAATGTAACATAAATAAAAATTATTTTAGTGAACAGTTTTTCACTTAAGGTCTTCGTGCTATTTTTCTACTATAAAAAATATATACCTATATACAATTTACTAATTGTAGATGTATTAAAAAAAAAAGTATCATATTATATTTTTAGCTATATTTTATCATATAATTTGTGAACCGAAAAAATTATATTCAAAAAAAACTTATATTAAACTTAAAATATTTTTCGAATTTTACGACAATTTTGTATCAAGGGTAATGCATTAATATGGTATAATTTTAAAATTTTTACCATATGCAATTTTTAACTTTTAGGTCAGTCTACTTTTACACGATTACGACTAAAATGTTTCTCTGATAGATAATGATGTATAGTTGTTTTCGACAAGTTATTTTTTGAATTTCTTAACAGTTTTCCGAATAATTAAGAAAAATTGGGGAAAAAGTACAACAAAAAACGGTCAAAATATAATTTTTTTTTTGTTGTAACAAAATATATCATCGAATACACTTTTCATTGAATTTCAATATTACCATTTTGTAATGCAAAAATTTCTTACTTTATCTATGTTACTTTTAGGCACTAAACCTTTTCGGTTTTTAAAACTGTTTATATATAGTTTGATTACCTTTATTATACTATTAATTTTAATACATAAAAATTATATGCAAATATGAGAAGTTGATTTTACTTTTCTGTAAAAATATAGAAAACCACATATTTTTTAAAAAATAATATTAGAGTTTAACTCAGAAATCAAAAGAATCTGCAAGATTTTTGTAGGTAAATATTGATAACATTTTCAATTTTAACACATAAAAAATTAAGGCTTGAAAATGTAATACAAAATACCTCAGAAGTTTAACCTAATAGTTTAAAAACAATGTACTGGAAAGCCACAAATATGTTTTATAAGCAATAAAATAAAACTCGAAATCGGATATTTCAAAGACTTTGAATCGGACTAGGTACATTGGTTATTTTGTTTTTCTGAATGTATTAATCGACTTGAATTGAACTGAGTTTATACCCAGTGATGTTTCAATCAATTTTGTTGAGAGTATACTACGCCGACGAGCAGGGGCGTATTTTAGGGGGGAGGCGAAGGAGCGATCGCACCCCCCCCCCATGAATCCGTATTAAAGGAATCGATCATATGTGAGATAAACATTTCAAATGTTTTTAATGTGGCTAGTTTTATAACGATACTTAGTGTCCATACCAGGGCACCAAAATGTTTATAAACAATTATAATTTATAAATATGCTTTCTGAAAATATGTTGGATATTGTCGGCGCGGCCTGCCTCATCAAAAATAATTTTGGTGAACACCGGTGAAACATTAGTAGTAATACACCCTTACATAAGTTATAAATTGACAATAAATACATAATTTACGTGGTATGTGCATTTTATTGTTGTTATACAACACTAGCGGACGCATAAAAATGTTTTGAGGGTTCGACCCCTACCCCCCCCGAAATGAATGGATGATTAATTTCAAACGTAGTTATTCTATATTATGTACCTTAAAAAAAATTAATTGTTCAAAATACGATTAAAATATGTTAGAAAAAAAATGTTTTGTTAAGAATAGTGAATGTGTAATAATTTGTAATTTTCCAAACGTTCTATAAGGTATTGGTACTTAAAACTCAAATTTTTAAAATTCCATGATGGCAATACTTCGTAAAAATAATGCGTGTTTGTAATTCGCTTATTATCAGTAAATAAAAATAAGTAAATATATGTAATCGATATAATATTATTTATAATGGTACATTATGATTGACGGTTTCCCTACATTGTGTGTTGTATGGTAATGTAATAACGATCGACAATAGTCAATCTATACTCAATAGTCAATTATTTCAAAATATCGGTAATTAGGCCCGTATTTAAAAGAGGCACGGGTAGGCACATATTCGGGAACGTCAAGTCGCAGGGGTGGCAAAATATTTCAGCAAAATTAATTTTAAAAATGATGTACCTAATGAAAAAAAAAAAATAAAACAATAAAAAAAAGAAAATAGTAATTATGTTATAATTTGTTTAATTTGTTAAATAAAAAAAGTATTAAACGATTTTCATTTATAAGTTATACTTTAATATTAAAGAATCTCGATTATGGACGAAATAATAAGTGTTATATTATTATTATTATTATTTATTTAATTTTTTTTTTTTTTGAAGGAGGGGCATAAATAATATGCTCAGGGGCGCCAAATTTTTAAATACGGGACTGATGGTAATTATTCTTATTTCTTCAAACCTTTCCCCCGAAATGTAAAACCTAATGTAAAATATTACGCAAAAGGTGAGTTGATTCCCGAGACATTTCTCGTGTATTAGTTGATATCCAGGTCATTAAGAGATACGTACGAGTTGATTCCCAGGTCATTATATATTTTATTCAATATTTAGTAAAATATTCAGCCTATTAGCATAACCCAAGATACACCAATAGGAGGTTGGCTGACAAATTTCTCAAAAATGTTGTTTTTTTTAGTTTTTTCATACTTTGAAAATCATTCAATTTTTATTTATTAATTATTTATTAAATTATATTATATTTATTATTGTTCCATACATTTAGTAGTAATTAGGTAAAAAATTATTATTAAAAACATTTAGTAGTAAATTATTTCAATAAATTGTCTTGGTGGACATAAGAGCGAGTTGTGTGTGACGGTCGAACTCTTTATGGTCATAAACTCTTTAGGTACCCGTGAAATCTATTGATAATTGATATACAACAATAAGGAATCAACTCGAACGTACCCTCAAATGACCCGGGAATCAACTAAACGGTGTCGGTGCAGGTAAACAGGTACCCGGGAATCAACTCGTACGCAGCCAAATATTATTTTACAAGTATACACTTCTGAAAGAACTCGAAAACAAACAAAAAAAATAAAAATTTAATAGTTCATTGGAAAAAATTATTCTGAACTATGAAATTTATTAATATACCAATTTATCTGTTGAAGATTACAGAGTACGCTGTGTTTAATGTATTTTGTTAACTGTAGTGAATAACACTGAATAAAATAGTATGGAGTGTAAACATTCAGCCCATAGTTCTTAAATCTGCATCATGCACTTTATAACGCGCTGCAAATGTATATCTTGTGGTGTTATATTTTATAGTCTTAATAGAAGTTGTAAACATGTAGTTACAAAAGATTTATTCCTTTTTTATGAACGTATCGAGAGAAAATAATTGTCGAGCAAATCAAAAAAATTTATTTTAGGATTAATATTCATATTTTTTTAGTGGGTATACCCACAAATACATTTACCAATACACCACTGGTTAAAGGTAATATATATATATATATATATAAAATATAATATTTAAAATATGTAATGTTATTTTACATAGTATTGATTGATAAATACTACAACTGAAAATGTTTCAAATTTTACACTAATTTAAATAACGCAAAAAGCTAAATTGTTCATAATGTTTTAATTGTCAATAACGGTAAACGGAAAATTTTTTAAACTTTAAATTTGTATAACGTTTATACGCTTAAATTATTTATAGCTTTAAACGATCAATTGCTTATAAGTTATTACGTTTAAATGTCCCACAACGGTAAACAATATATATTATTTTGATTTAAACCCTGGTCCATACTTAAAAATATAACAGATAGGTGTTAAAAATGAACTATACAAAAGTCCATTCTAAGTGAATCCGGCATTAGAAAAAAAAAAAACCACAAATATTAAGGATTCACCTGATTTAAATACTACTAAAAATTTTACTTGTAAATTTTGAGCCTGAATTAAAGAAAAAATTTCAGTCCCCCCCCCCCCCTAGAAGTAAGTCTAAATACGCCTCTGCCGACGAGTATCTAAATATACGAGTAGACATTTTTATGATTTAAACAGTGATGGAAATATTGTTATAAATATTAACAAACAATTTAAACGCATACGTTTTCATTTTTTTAAAAAAATAGAAATTAAAATTATTTCAATAAACTGATACCATCTACTAAGTGTCTGAGGGAACACTGAATATTTATTACAAAATAAAGCCAATACTAAAGCTAATTATATTGTAGTAGGTACTTCGTGAAGTGTTAGAGATTTAAGAGTATAATGTAGTACACCCATGTATTTTCAAAATTAAATTGAGAGTATATGGCCTGTGTATATGAATCATACCTAAGTCGGTAGCAAGGAGGAGGGGCTAGAGGTGCTTATGTCTCAGGTGAAATTCCTAGAAGGCCGCAAAAATGAAAAATTTGCAATTTAATTGTTACTTATAACTTATTTCTTATAAGTAAAAGTAATATTATGTATTTATGTATTTACTTATATAACATAAATATTATTAAGTTATACCTATATCCTACTTATAATTATTATGTATATTTATATTTGAATAAGTTATTGATTTAAATAAAATTAACTAACGCTTAATTATAAGGAAAAATCACTATTTATATTGCGTTTATAAAAAATATTCAGTTTTTTGTGAGTTTTTTTCATAAATTAAAATACTTAATGGTGCATTTTGAAGTTTCATCCCGGACGTAACTTCTGGTTGCTACGGCCTTGATTATACCCTACAGGAACTCCACTGCTTATAGCATGATATCTCAATATAAATAATTCCAATTTTTTTTGCTATAGTAGAGTTTAATAATATTCTAATAAATACTTAAAGAAAAAATTTTTATTTTCATTCCTTGACTTTGGCTTTTAAAATTGTATTAACTTTAAAATAAAATAAAAAATAACCATTCGTTGGTACAATCTATGCAGATTTTTGAAGTATCGTCATTAAGAATTAAACAATGGCTAATGCTTGTTTACAGGAAATAATAAGCGTATCTGATATCTTCATTAGCCAATTATTAATTAATAAAAATTAATCACCAATTAAATAACCTTATTAACGACAATAACATAAGAATAGTTATTCTTCACAATAATAGCACATGTCAGTATAGCTACTGGATACAGTCAGTGGCGTCGTTGGGGGGGGGCTACTTATAAATTTGCCACAGTAAAGCAAGAGTAGGGGGGTCAAACCTTTTGTAGTTGGTGGACCAATTAACACTTTCGTAAAAATACTATGGGCCGCAAAAAAAAAAAAAAATTATATTATTATCAAGTAAAACCCGCAACCAATAATCGCCGCCTAATAATGACTATAATAATAATAATGACTTCCACGGCCACCGATCACAAGAATTCAGATTCACTGTGGTTGCTATATAAACACTATACCTACATACGCAGTGTAGTATTAAGTAATTTTGCGGCTCGGCGCAAACAAAAATTGGCGACCCTCTAAGGGGCCTATCCACGGAAAATATAGGCGATAGATCCCCATGAACCTTTTAGATATTCTAAAATCAATGCTATTTTTGTGTAGTAGGCACGTCGCCGCACGCCACACGTGATAACATAATACACGCCGTATTATTATAAATAACTTATGTTTATTGACATTATCACAACAAATTTGGGAACTGGTATTAGGTATATTAATAATATTCTGGATCGTTGATAGCTATATTGCTATGAATACATGAATATATATTAATAAATTAAATACAAAAAAAAAATTAATAATTTCAAAATAATTTTAAAAGTTCAATAATTCACAAGTGAGCCATTTCCGACCACAAAGTTTTGGCGCCTCCAAAAAACTAGCGCCTAGGGCAGTTGTAGCCCAAAAAATGAGACGTGTACTATACGGGTACTTAAGTATAAAGCACAAATCATTAATTTTTTAACTGGTTTGACGTCCTCTTCGTTCCATGCTAATCGGCTCTTTGGTAGTCGCCGAGTCGGCAATTTAATAAGTACATGCCAACTGTCCTACTCTAGAAAAAACTAAAATTAAGGGTCTAGAAATGGTTACTCTTTCCTATAAAGTTACATTTACTATATTTCTCAAACCACACAATTCATTTTCAATTACAATACTTTGGAATTTTCATAACTAATTGTTTAATTATACCAAATAATATCTATTTTATAGTTCCCTAGAAATTCATACATCAAGTTATTTTTTCTTACTAACCAAAAGGTGAAAATATAAATTTCACTGTAAGTGTTTAATAAGATCCTTTCTTTTTAACTTATAGAAATTTTAAAGTACATTCCACATGCAATTACTGAAAAATACTTTTATCTAACTTAATGTATTAAAATTTTATACCACAGTAACCAACTTTAAATTATTAATTAATTATTAACTAACTTGATATTCAAATAATATTTTATGCTATTTCAAATGACATAAATTTTTTCGACCGATGAATAAATATAGACAATTATATTTTCGTAAAATTAATTGGATTATTAAACGAACAGATATTAGAAAAAATTACAAAACTTTATACAAACCTAGGAAGATGTGCTCCGGTCACTCTATATTTTATAAAAATAGGAACATATTGAGGCAGTTCTACTGATGTAGAAAGCCAATCACAAGTTTGCTCAACAGTCCAATTATGTACCTAAAATATAATACTAAATAATAATGTTGACACTTGGTTACCTAGTTTTCCATAAAATTGATTTTATTACTGTCAAAAAACTAAATTACTTACTTCGGACTTCACCCAAGCATCCCATAAGTCTTTAACAGAAATATACATGTCATCATTTTGATGAAATGCTTTTTGGCGTTTTTCTGCGCCTTTTTCGTATTTTAATTCTTCGCGTAAAAACTAAATAATAAAAATTACAAAAGCTAAGTACAGTTCAATACATTCAATATTTCTTTTAAATATTTGTTATGACTTTTTCATTTATTTATGTTCCAAGGTTTCATTCACACTTAATTGATGTACATATATTAATTAAAACAATTTAAAATAGAATTTAAATGGGTAATTAATAAATCATTCACCATTATGAATACCATAAATTATATCATGCAGGATCATACAAATATTTATATTCATGTCGACTGTTGAAGTAGCGAATGCCGCATGACTTAGATTAACTTAGTGTAGTAAGACGTACCGCGTATTGTAACTATATATTGATCAACCATTATTGTATTACTCAAATGTCAACCTTGGCCTACCATGACAAGTAGATACAGAGATGTCCATCTCAAAGTGTCATTCAGTTTATTGCAATGCAGTAGACACCAAAATCCAAAACTAGTAAGGGTCAACGTAGAATATAATTGCTTTATTCAAAAGTTACTAAAGAATTATAATTCAATTAATTAACTATGAATAATAGATTTAAACACATTAAATATTCCCAATCAAACTCTCTTTATATTTTAAATTAAGTATCAATATATTTGAAAATGTATTTATTATTTTTCTTACATGTTTTCACCAAAACGTGTAAGATGCCAAATTAATTCAACACACTATTTATAAGAATAACAAAAAAATTGTTCCACCTATAATGTCCCAAAAAGCAAACTGCCAACATTTAGGTTGCCTGGGAGTATAATTTTAATTTGAAGCGGAAATATTGCAGTAGATTTTTTCGCACAACCATATGTATAAATAAACTACTAACAATTGCGAGGGGGAAAAAAAATTAAATAGAGCCTTATTTTCATTGGTCCTATTAGTGATAATTCTATTGGAAAAAATTATATCTTGAAAAGTTTCTAAAATCCATCAAAAGTATTAAAAGTATATACTTAACTATACTGTAATGAAAATATCACAATTTTCATCGATACCTACAGTTTATATAAGCGTTACAAATAAATATTAAAAACATTAAAATATATACATAATAGATATACAAACTTAAATGCATATATTATTGCAATGTAAATAGCATATCATTCTTAGAAAAAAAGTTCTATACATATGAAGACAAAAAAGTTAATAATATTAATAATAAAACTAAATATTTATCCAAATCGAGAAGTATAAAATATAATTGGGCAAAAGACAAATTAAAATAAACTAACGAGGAATGAATAAAAAAGAAATAGTTTTATTGACTAAGAATAGTGTATATTCATCAAACGGAACACATACAGACCTTAATTAGGAGCAGTAGTTTATTACTGATTAATGTCAGAAGAATAAATATAAAATGGAAGGGGACAGAACAACAACCCAGAGAACTTAGATTAATCATGGAAACCCATATGAAACATCCCTCAAGATTAGGCAAATCTTAAAATACTTATATTAATTTCTTTTTTTCTTTGTAATTTACCTAATGGTTCTAATTTAATATTATATAGCACATATGTAAAGTGTAAAAATTAAGCCAGTAGAAAAATTCCGATGTTTATGAAAATAATAAAAATGATATATATTGGTAAGAAATAGGGATAAGCCAATATTTTTTATTTGGACTATCGATAATTATTTTTATCTAAGATAAGACTTACAATTATGTCCATTTACCATCGATTTAATAACGCCAGTACTATTTAATCTATTCGCTTATCCACGAACCACCCTATCGACAGTTAAAAAAATAATGCATTTAAGGCCAGGAATATAGATTTAATTGTTTATTTCAAGTTTGTATAACATATAATTCGTAATATATATTTTTTTTTTTTTGTTATAATTGATAATCCTCAATGAATAAACTCATATAGAACCGAAATTTAAATTTTTTAACCCAAGCAAAAACTGGATGACCTCAAAGTAACCCATATTTAGAAAAATACTCCCATTGAAAATTTGGTAATAGTGATATAACTAAATATTTCAATTTTTAATATTTAAGTATTAATAAAAATTTTTCTATTTTTTTTTTTTCATAAAATATTTATTGGTTTTTGTAATAATTGTCAATAACATAAATTACCATAAGTTTATTAAAATAATTGGTAAGAATTGACTAGGTATCTTATTTGGTTGAAACAAATAACACAAACTTAAAAAAAATATAAATCTATATCCATAAATTTGATTACACTATTTTTGCCATAGAGGAATAAATCAGTATTTTTTATCAATATCAATCAATGTGTGAAATCATATACATATAACCTTATTTTAAACATTATTAACCCCGCAAGGATTTAAAAGTCTATATTTCATGTAAATTCAGTAAACTTGTGTGCCATTTTTTAAAAATCAATTTTATCTATACATTTATTTATTATGATTTTAAACTTTAACCATAATAATAACTAATATAATAACCAAAATACTAATACAAATATAATTAATATTATAATTATATAGATTTTATTAAATGTATAAGCCATACATACACCATTGTATTTTTTATAATTTAATTTAAACTCTAATAATTGCATTTTAAATTATACATTGAAAATAATGGTAATTTATTTCCTATTTATATAGTACTTAAAGAAACTATAATATCAGTTTTATTATTTGATAATATGTTTATAGTATTAATGATACAGTTCATAGTCATACACATATGACTTAATTAATAATTTTAAGCTATAAATTTAAAAAAAATATTAAATTAAGAGCTAAGTTAATAACAAGTGAATTGTTTTTAAATAATGATTGATTACATTAAAAATTTCAAATAGTTTAGTATTAATCAGGGACCAGAACTGTAACCTAAAAAAACTGGTACTGGAACTGGTTAACCTTTAAAACTTAGAAACCGGAACTGAAACCAGAACCTTTATTTCCAAAAATGAAAAACCATAACCGTAACCTTAATTATAAAAAGGTTAATTTAGGTCAGTTCTTTAGACTAGTAAAACTATGGTAATGACTATTTTGTTTGTCCATTTGTTGGTTCAGAAAAATAAAAGTCAAATCTTTTTATGTTTTTATTATTTTGTGTTGTAAACTGTAATAGTGTAATGCATATAATAAGTAAATTTGTAATATTATTATTTTTGTATGTTTATTAATATATTACAGTTTACAATGAGTATATCATCAATCTTGTCAATTAAGTAAATATAATTAATGTTTATAAAAAATTTGTAACTACAACAGTAGCCAGTATTAACTTTGATCCCTAATTAAAATTAAATTTTAAATTAAAGATATTTATTTCATTAAATAATAATATTTCATAATATTACAAGATATTTTACAAATTCTTACAATGAGTTGAAATAAAATAACTTAACCTAACTCAAAGAAATATAAAAGGCTGATATAATATATATATATATATATATATATATATATGTTTAATATATTTATAATAATTTTTTTAACTATTCATAATACCTTCTATTTTCATGAAATGAAACAATTAAAATGTAAACAAGAATAAATCAATAATTTCATATTATTTTTTAATAAATTTCTGATAATTAGAATTAATTGAAATTAATAGGTTCTAGAAGCTTACTCTTTTAAAAAACCGAAACCTAAATCGGAACCCTTAAAAAATTAATTGAACAACTGGAACCGGAACCGAAAAAACCTACAGGTTCCAGTCCCTGGTATTAATACAGTGATTCAATTAAGTTCATATCTAACAATATAGCAATAAAATATAAGTCTGGCCAATTTAGTTCACAGAAATAATGTTTAAGAAATATCAAACAATTTAACAGATAGCTAAAAAAATTTGAAATAAAACGAAATTACCTAGCTAAAAATAACTTAAATTACTTATTTTAAATACATTGGACTTAAAACAGAAATTAGCGCTTATAAACTTAAATTTTAACACATACATCATGTACCAAATTCACTAAAGATATAATCTGATAAATAACACTAAAATCAAACTAATTAAAATAACAAACAACTTTTTTTTTTTTATCATTAATGTCATTACATTTTAAGAAAAATATTAAATTTATTGAGTTTATAATATATAAAATGTAAATTATGAAAAAAAAACTAACAGTTAATACTTAAAATGATTGTTAAAAATCTTTTAAGTGAAATGAGTCAACAGTTTATCATAATTGTATTTTGTCCATGAAAGTGAAGGTCATTGTAATTTCTATTTAAGTTTTATATACATAAGAATGTTAATTTATTCTAGAATATTTATTCCAAAAATAAAATATATAATGTTAAAATGGTAATATAGTCAATATAAGACGAGTCTTTAATTTAAAGATTCAAAGAGAACACTAATCAAAATTTATAATTATTAATCCTAACTAAACCGAAATATTTCAGTTTTTTTGTGACTTTTGTGTTTAATTAATATATAAATTAAGTAATATTTTGATTTTTCACGTATAAATTCATACTAAAAATGTAAAATTTTTATTAATAATCTGGGAAAATTATAAAAGTATGAATAGATTTCTATGAATATCGATCATACCTATATTTATTTTGTCAAATACATCTTATAAAAATAACTAGGACTGGGAGATCTTATTTTAAACATTTAGTTATTGGTTTATTGATTGATTAATACTTAAGTAAAGTGTCAAGTTGTCTATTTAGGTTCGTAAAAATATTGTATTTTTTCAATATCCAGTCGAATTTGTTTAACTCGAAGTCGAAGGGACCGGAAAAAAGTTCCGATAATTTATAATATTATATAATTTTATTGAATTTAGATTTAAACGTTTGATATTTGATTAAAAATAAGACAGAAAGATTTAATCTTCTTTTATTAAAATTAATATCATATTTTCATATGATATTATGATATAAAATTAAAAGCAGTCAATGATTAATAGGAGCTTAAGTCATTTTTGACTGAAAATATTTATGTTGGTATTAAAAATAAATAAGTATTTTAAACATTCGTAAAATGTTGAAGAAATTTCGTGGGGGGGTCCAGACACCCTGAACCCCCCATATAACGGCCTTGAGTATATCTTACAGATGATAAAATGTCTAAATATGGATAATGAATCGTTGTTGTGTAGTAAATCAGTTACATAAACCACTTATCGGTAACGATAACACTAATAAGTAATTATTAGTAATAACCTTATTTTCGATAGTAAATATACCAAGATACATGAGGGATATATCACAATTATATAATACATATGTACAATGTACATTGTACAAGTTAATAAATTTCGAAACTTCGAGTTATTCAAGAAAATATTCGAGTTAAACAAGATTTTTTCGCATTGCTTGAATAGAAAATTTTAGGGACCGGGGAAAAAGTTCAAGATATCGACGATTTAGAGTTAAAGAAGTTCGAGTAAAGCAAGTTCGACTGTAATATACATTTTAGAAAGGTGTCACTTAGTCTAATGAAAATTCCACAAATAAGTATTAATCTCTATATTTTGTATGAATATTATTGTTTTTAAATAGTAAATCATAAAAGCATACTAAAAAAAAGGCAATAGGGTCTAACCTATATGTCATCCTTATAAATTATTATTGCCCTTGATTTTTATATTAGTATAAATGTTAAAAAAAGACATTCCCAATATTTGAAAAAAATAATTTGATATTGTAAATTTGGTACCAAAATTAACCATTAGTTTTCTTCAAACATTTTTAAAAAGCAAACTATAAATTTAATGAGAACATTTAAAATGTTAAAATTTTTAACTATTAATTTTATGGAACATTAGTACAAACAGAAATAAAGAGCCATATTTTTTTCTTTTAATATTGGCAATTTATATATATATATATATATATATATTTTATATATTTACATTTTTTTTATAATTAGTGTATTAAATTTTATTACACTGGAAATATTCTATATTATGATTGTTATAATTGCATAATATTTCCTTCAACGGTCAAGTCAGCTTATTTAATTTTACTGGTATATAATATCAGGAGTTGAATTAAAAATATTGAAAAATTAATCTCCAATTTTATATTTTATTTTATTATTTAAAATAATAATATTTCTTAAATTTCTGAAAGTAGCTACTGAGCGTAAGATGAAGAAAATATTACTTATAAAGTGTCGTATTACCTAACCAACGTTTCCCAAACTCTAAGGCATACCTCCATTGGGAAGTACAAGCACTTATTGGAGGTGACACAAGGCAAATATTTATATTGTATACTACATTTAATTTATTTTTAAATCAACAATCATTTGCTTGAATTTAAATAATAAAAGATGTTGTTTTATTTATTCATGGGAAACATGATTATATTTTTTTTGTTTTGGGCATGCATAATCCCATAAGTATGGAAACCGCAGCCTGTATAATTTTCATGGTATTTGTTATTATTTAAATGGTAACATTATTGTTCTAAAATAAAAATAAATTTATAGTGGTTCTTTAGACTCCAGGATTCACATATATATTAATATAATCCTGTAGATATCTTATATACTTATAAATTGAGATATATACTGTATTCTATATTAAATAATGACTAGGTACTACTCATTAACTATAAATAACTTGATTTTGGTTTACTTATGCATTGATTGTTTATTATGAATTAGAGGGATTTTAAAATGTCTTATATGATATACATATATATATATATTTTATGAGTAATGTTAATATTTGACTGAAGTTGACTTTAGTCAGCTAGTCTGCTAATGTCGGCATTATCCATACCTATTGGATAATGTGTAATTTTTTGTGTTTAAATATGAAATATTAACTTTAGATGGGTAATGTTAAAAAATTAAATTAAGATTTGTTATTATCATTCTGTATACTTTAGTATCACAATAATAAATTTTCTTATAATTTATCCTAACGATAAAATGAAAAATAAATAGGTCTAATACAGTGGTAGATCCAGATAAAAAAACTAGGGGGTGCTCAAATCCTCTTACCAAAATAAATAAATATTCAACAATACTTTCTTAAAAGACAAATTATGCTATAATTTTTTGTTTTTTACCATTTTCTTAGTTATGTTCATAATGCATTTATTTTACAAACTGATTTTTCTATTTTTTTTTTTTTTTAGAAAATATATTTATTAATTAATCATTTTTATTATTTTTATTATTTTTCATTATTTATATTAATTAATTAATTCATATCTATTTCCGAAGAAATTAACTGAAAGGATGCTAAAATCAGTTTGGCGGTGCTTAGCATCCCCAAGTATTACCCTAGGTCTACCATTAATCTAGTATTTTAGGTGAGTATGATATCTTAATTGGAAAATAATTTATTATAACTTTATATGTACTATACAAGTACAATAAATGATGCCGATCTGTAATTAGTCTGTTTTCCCATGTGATATTCGTGAGTGCAATATTATGTTAAATTTTTTTTTATTTACTTAAAATGAAAACAAAAAGAGAATTTTATCGTTTATCTTAAAAATTGTTCTCTGAAAAACGAGAAAATAGTTTATTTTATTAAAATATAAATAATTAATTGCAAGATGGCAAAAAATCTCTTCGTTAGGTGATAAGTTTATACATTAAAAATAATCTATAATAAGTAATTGTATCTTACTCAACTTGATTTTTTTGTTCTATTGATATTTTTATATTTTGAATATTAACATTAGCCAACATTAATGGATATATATATAAATATTATAATAATAATAATTCAGTAATCTTAAGAAATAATATTTAAGTTTACAATTTAAGAACTAAATAATTTTAAACAAATTCATGTTTAGTTCCGAGTCAGAAATATAATATAAATATGTTTGAATATCAACAAAATCATTAGTAGTTAACACACAACCAATTATCACAGTAAACTCACTACTAAGTATGACATTCATCGCACCTATCTGGCTATTTGCCCATTTTCTTCAATTTCACAGTAAATAATGATTAATCATCACCTCAATTTTATGCAATAGATAAGGTAAAAATTTCAAAAAATAAGTTTAAATCTATTGAATTAGTTAAATTGTATATCTAACATTTACAAGGTTTAAAATAAAACTAACCAATAGAAATGTACTTTTTATGTTTAATAAATAATTTTTTTAATAATATAATGATTTAAAATATTATTTTTATATCGTATATACTTACATCATCAGATTCTGAAAGATCAATAGCACCATCAGCATCATCATCAAGTTGTCGATGTAATGACCGTATTGCTTCCAAACCTACCCTGTCTTGAGTAGCCATTGTTAAACATGCAATATCATCATTGCAAGAATCATTTACACCAACTAAAAATGAAATATCAAATTATTTATCAAATAAACTTAATTATTTAAAGTATTGATCTACACCATTAAATTTGCAAAAATTTTAAAAATCAAAATATTTTTATACTTTATTTAAAAAATTGTTAATTTTTATTAAAATATTATAAAAACTGTGCTTTAAAAAAATTCCCATGGATTTTATTATATCTTCAAATAATCAAAATTTAGTATTATCTTAAATAATTTTTCTGTGATAAATAAAAATAACAAAAAGAGGCTTGTACAATTTACATGATTTTATCAGAAATTTAAAATTAATAAATATTTAAATAATTGTTAAAAATAAAAATTATTGTGACATTGAAATTAAAATGTAATAAAAATAAATACCTATTGTAAAAATCGTATAATGAATAGATGTAAAATTCCTAAACATTATAACAAGGCACAAGGACATTTTCTAAAAAATAACATTGTATAAATCAAACACAGCTGTACTTAATTATTTATTTTAATTATTTTTAATGGGTTAATAAAATCTACAATACTTTTAAATAATAAATAGGCAAGTCATATTTAATATTTAAAACAATTTATTTTAATAGTAAGGCTAACAATCTTGTTTCAAAATTCTGAATTTTTACTCAAATTTGTTAGGTCTACTCTAGGAACATTTTATTTAAAATTCATTTTAAAGTCAACTTATACTTCAATATTTTTCAAATCATTTAAATTTAAGTTAGTATTGCATTAAATGTTAGATAATTAGAAATGTATTTCAATTTTTCAATACCAATACCACAAATTAATTATTTTGTGTATTTCATACCAAAGAACATCTTATAAATTTATAACGTGCTATTAAATAATAAAAAATAGTTATTGAATTCAATAATATTACAAAAAGTAGTTATTTCATTAATAATCATATTTTAGTAAAAACAAATTCATCATACTATAATAAATGCAAGTATACACATTTATAATGATTTACTATAATTTAAATCAAAATAAAATGCCTATAGACAAAAATTTCATTAAAGGAAAATAATATAAGTTGAATTTTATTAAATAATATAGTAATTTAAAACTTTGACAAGTACATAACAGGTAAAAATATAAAATGTAGGGAGTAGTTTTTGACCAATACCTAAAGATATTTTAAATTTTACATTAGATAAAATAAGGATAATAATTGCACATAATTATCAGAAAAATAAATTAATATTTTCATACAATAATAGACTTGAAACATACCAAGCTTAAAAGTGCTTAAAAAAGCATACAAAAATACATTGTTATTACTAACCAGAATCTGTTGGTTCCGTTACACGGACTTTGGCTGAGCTAAAACTTGATTCACTAAGTACATCACAGAATGTAGGAAGCACCAACATTAAAAGTACACTACTCAATAATAATACTAACAATGATCTTGAGCACATGATTGGAAACGGAAAAGATAAATATATATTTTTAATAAAAATCGTTCAGAACTGAATTACACAATATTTAATATAAATTTTATTCAGCTACCGTGAAGTTTACATCACGTAAGAGTAGATTTTTTTTAACTTAATTTACAAGATACTTCGAAAAAAGAAGTAACTACGATTATCATTAAAGTAAAACTACGTAAAAATAAATATTACTTAAACGGTGTTAAACACTAAGAAAAAAATATATATAAGAGGTAAAAGCAATTCGTGTAAAGAACAGCGGAAAATAATTTTTAATCCCAAAATTCACAATAGATAAAAATATTAAATATGAAAGCAGAATGGACATTGGTCTCAGTCACACTGATAACATTATTCATATTGTATAGGTAGTTGTAGTTGAATTTGGTAGTAGGATTCCGGTCGTCCTTGCCACCATTCCAATTGTGTAGATTTACAGCTGATACCAGTAGAAACAGTTCCTCGACTGAAGGGACAAGGAGTTCCGCATGTGCTACAAATGTATATGATCATAATTCATAAGCAATAATAGTTATTAATTTAACATATTGTACTCATACTTCACTACTTCAAATTTATAGAACATAATCCATAGAGGAACGAACCCGTGATAGATTTTACGATCATAGTTAGGATCATAGAGTAATTACTATATGGTTTGGACACTAATAATTGCTGAATGGCGAGTGGTATTTTACCTTTACATTATATTTTCTATAACATAAAATATGAAGATAATATAACGTGATCTTATATTACTGACAAATCGATCATACAAGCGTAACTCATAAGTATAATTTTAGTAGAAAAAACAATAAATATTTTTATTTTGTAATGGTATATTAAAATTACAACAAAATACGATAACCATTAGGCTCTATTCCCAATCGCTAAGTATATTATATTGTTAAATTGTCAATGTGATAGGTACCAATAAAATAAGGAAACCGATCTAACGAGAACAATAACTAAGTGTAACTTTTTACTGATTAAATCATTTTTAATGTAATTGTTAATTACTAAATATTAGTGATGGGTCGAACCCTGATTTTTTAAATCGAACCGAACTTGAACCGAAATTTAAATTATTTTTTCGAACTCGAACTGAATCGAACCGAACCGAACCTATTATGATTTTAAGTCGAACTCGTACTCGAACTCAATACTTTTTATCGTGTACATTGTATCTACCTACAAATTAAATCAACCATAATTATTAATTACTATTGTATTTTAAGTTTTCGTATTACCTATTCTACATTTTAACTTTTAAGTCTAAGTAATTGTATTATTTACAATACATTTAAATTTTAGATATTATTTTATTATTATTATTATTTTTCAAAACCAGTATTGTGCTCTCTCGTGTTGTCTTGTAGCTTATAAAATATTCATTGAGTATTGAGTGTAATATGACAATAAAATCAGTACATTTTAATAATATATTAAAAAAAATAGTAATAATAACTAGAGATGTGTAGTTCATGAGCTAGTAGACTCAGTGAGTCGACTCTTAAAAATGAACTGGATGAGTTGAATCAGTGTTACAAGAGTTGGCGACTCAGTGACTCACTGACTCAGTTAAACTCTCAACTCCCTTGATAATGGTTTGCGAATCCAAACGGAAAATTACACCAACCTAAACAATAGTTCCCCTCGGATTTGGTTATTAATATTTCCATTATTTCTTAAAATAAGATTTCTGACTTTCTGAGAAAAATTCGTAACGTTTTACGCATAGGCGCAATTTGGGGGGACTTGGGTGTGCTTAGCACCCCCAAATATGTTTATGTTAATTTACATTTAAATACTAATTACTCATTATGTATAGAAAAACAATAGTTTTTGAGTTTTTTTTATAAATATATAAATGTTTATATAGTATGAAAATATTTCGCAACGCGAAAAAAAATATCTTCACTATAGGGTAAAAGTTTGAAGTTTCTAGCCACATTACTTTTGGAATTATGACTAAATAACTAAAATTTGAAATGTGAAAGTCTTATTTATAGCGTATTTTTACCATTTTAGGACAGTTTTTTCCTCACGTCTAAAAAGACTATTAAGATTTAAAAAAATGACCTACATAAAGTACCACCACATGCCAATTTAAAATCTAAAAAATGTCCTAGAAAAAACTTTTGGACCAGTATTTCTATCTGAATAAGTGTTAAATAAATAAAATACAAACATCATTATAAAACCATAATATCCACCTTTGCTTCAGTCAAAATCTAAAAGTGATCACTTGATAAAACATTTGTGTTTACAGACAGGTAATTCGTTATACGCACAATAAAAATATAAAATCAAAGTGAACAATTTAAATTTAGAAATATTCATATATTTACCAAATATTTTAGTAACAGTTGAATTGTTTGGTTTGCGGGTGTTTATAACCATTAAGGAACATGAAAAGATAGAAGGGATTCAGCATCCCCAGTTTTTTCATTGAAATTGCGCCCCTGGTTGTACGCTTATAGTCATAATTAGCTTCACATACGATAAGCTATTCATGAATATGGACTGTGAACTTGTGAGTCGAGTCAAGAGTCGAAACTTGAAGAGTTGATTAGAGTAGTGGTAATCTGATTCGAACAAAGAGTTGGGAGTCGACTCTTTGATTCAACTCATTACTCTGAACTATGTTGAAAGATTCAGTTCAGCGGAATGAGTTGGAATTCCCATCCCTAATAATAATTCATAAATAATATATAAATATACATAAATAATTCATAAACTATAATTCATATAGAATGATTAGTAGAATTTATAATGTAAAGGTACGTTTTCCTATGTACGGCTGGCCGCATACGACATGTGCGTGAAGTTGGCCCCCCTAAATCAAGCTAGCGACTCCAAACCTTCACAGATATTTTGCAAGAAACGTTAATGTACGATAATGTGTAAAAAACAAAATCAATCAATTATTGTTTAATCTCCATGAATAATTATTATTAAAAAATGGTTTTATTTTCTGGCTTTTTACATATTTTTCAAATATTATCATTATGTCCTATTATAGACTGGAGCTATGAGCCCGTATATTTGCTACACGCAATATACACGGTTATTGCAGCACTGATTCTGATATATTATGAATATAGATATAAATTAAATTTATTGTAATAAATAAATTATTGTTAAATTTAACATCCAAATATTTTCAGCATCTTACAACGAGAAATATTCTATGAATCTAAAATACATATATTTTTATAAATATTAACACTCATATTTAAATATTACGTTTTCTTTATATCTCTAAATTTATTACACTAAACCACTAAGGCTTTTTTTAAATTCCCAACATCTGTTGAAGTTACACAGGTGTGATTTAAGTATATCAAGTCAAAAATGTTTTCTTAGAAAAACCGCGGGTATGCAAATTCTGAAAACTACATAGCAAATTATAGCAAATTAATTGCAAAATGTCTGTGAAGGTTTGGAGTCATTGGCTTGATTTAGGGGGCCAACTTCATGCACACGCATACGAGTAAACGCAACGAATAGTCGCAACTATTGAACGCAGCGTTCCGACTGGTTTCCTAAATGTGACTTTACTTTGCGGCTGGTACATAATATTTCGTTTAATCAGTGGCGGACGCAGGGAGAGGTTTTGGGGGTTAGGTTAACCTAACCTAACCCCCCCCCCCCCCCCCCCAATGAATGGATGATTAATTTCAAACGTAGTTATCCTACCTTATATACCTTAAAAAAATGAATTGTTCAAAATACGATTAAAATATGTTAGAAAAAAAATGTTTTGTTAAGAAAAGTGAATTTATAATAATTTATAATTTTCCAAACGTTCTAAAAGGTATTGGTACTTAAACTAAAATTTTTGAAATTCCATGATGGCAATACTTCATAAAAATAATGCGTGTTTGTAAGTCGGTTATTATCAGTAAATAAAAATAAGTAAATATACGTAATCGGTATAATATTGTTTACGATGGTACATTATGATTGACGGTTTCCTTAAATTTTGTGTTGTATAGTCATGTGATAATTATCCACAATAGTCAATCTATAGTCAATAGTTAATTATTTCAAAATAACGGTAATCAGGCCCGTATTTAAAGGGGCACGGGTAGACACATGTCCAGAGGTGTCAAGTCTCAGGAGCTGCAAAATATTTTAGCAAACTTAATTTTAAAAATGATATACCTAATGAAAAAAAAAATAAATAAAACAATAAAAAAAAGAAAATAGTATGTTTTATTATGTTATAATTTGTTTAATTATAAAAAGTAAAAACGATTTTCATTCATAAGTTATATTTTAATATTAAAAAATCTTGATTATGGACGAAATAATAAGTGTTATATTATTATTATTTATTTATTTATTTTTATTTTTTTTTTTTTTTGGGGGGGGGAGGGGCATAAATTATATACCCGAGGGCGCCAAATTTTTAAATATGGACCTGAGGGTAATTATTCTTATTTTTTCAACCCCCCCCCCCCCCAAAAAAAAAAAAATAAAAATATTTTTCTGCCTCCGCCCCTGCGTTTTATTCTATTATTTAGTAGTGTACAGACGTGTTTAGTTTATAACTTTATATTTCAATAATTATTGTTATACCTTACAAATTTTACGAACTGCGATGGAGGAAATTATTATGAATACTAATAAAATAATTAGTCTTTTATTTGAGGAGAAAGAAGAAGAAGATGAAATGTATAATTGATTAAAAACTAATAAAAGAAAATCAATAGACAGTTTTATTATAACTCGAGAAGATGAAGGTTTTTTTTGAAATTCTAATAAATGGACATTTACATAACAGTAAACAGAAATTCCGCGAATTTATCCGTATAAATTATGACCAGTATTTTTTGAGGAGGTCTAAACCGCCAAGCACCCCTTCATACGCTAGTGGTCATTTATATTATATAATGTCTCCTAAAAAATGCCCTGACCGTAATAGCATCTGGATCTCTTGCACTATAAATCTGTAGAATGAACACATACTCGAATTAACGTATCAAGAGGTTGTCTATAAAATAAAGACGACTAAAATAGGAGATTTAATATTACTCATATTTATTTCATATAAAGAAATTGTTATTTTCTGACTTCATTAATACAACTATCAATTAAATAGCATTAATTATTAAGTATATGTAACATTATAAATAAAGCAATTTGTTGCATTACCTATTAAATAGACAAAGGATTTTCGGAAAGTATTAATGAAAAATTACTGTTGGTGAGTCGGTGAGGGAATCATTAAGTATGAT